AAAGAGTTGCACAAAGTTGAAGGCTACATTCAGGACAAAAGGTAACAGCTTCCTTCCTAATAGGAAACAAATAGCTGCCCTGTTTCTGATGGGAGCTGTAGAACTAAATGCCTTTAACATAGTCTGTCAAGGGCATGAACCTGCAACAGCAAGGCTATGAATTGTGTAACACCAATAATAGAATTTTAAGAGTTACTCTCAAAAGTTCTTTCAAATATTTTTGTCTGAAATGATGAAATAAATGTCTTTAATCTTTGTAAACCTAGTCTCTTTTTTTTGACAGCAAAAAGAAGCTTTGTGCGCTGTATGGGAAGTGGACTGAGTGTTTGTACAGTGTTGACCCAGCTACGTTTGAAGCTTACAAAAAAAATGATAAGAAAAATGCAGAAGAGAAGAAAAGTGGTAAACAGGTATTAATCAAGTAAAGAGGTGGTATCTCAAGAGCTGTAAGACAGCTAAACATTTTAGTAGCATTTAATACCATAAAGGTTTTTTCACTTATTCTCGCTTTCCTAGTAGTGAGACTGACTGATTTGCCGTACTGACTGACTGATTTGCCCGACTGCCTGACTGATTTGCCCGACTGACTGACTGATTTGCCCGACTGACTGACTGATTTGCCCGACTGACTGACTGATTTGCCCGACTGACTGACTGATTTGCCCGACTGACTGACTGATTTCAAGTACTGTGAGAGATGTGCTTAGTTCTCATATACTATAGATGCACTTGCTGTACCTGCTGATGTGGTTTGGAATGGGTGTGATGAGGTAGGTCCTAATTAACACAAGCCACAGGTTGTCATTGCTGCCAGTGAATCTACTGTGTTTGTGAATGACTTATCATTGGTCAGATACAGGAACAGTCATAAGGTGTCAGAATTCCCCCACTTTTCAAGTGAATTGCGCAGAAAACTGTTTAGCTTGGACAGTCAATTGTGCGTTCATTTACAGAGTAATTACAAGGGTTCACAAGTTGTACAGTACGTCAAGTTTCTGAAAAATCATGTGGGTGCCGTATATATGAATCCTTTAAGTAAATTTTTTAGCTTTACAAAAGATCTTTTCACACCAGGAGTGAGTGGCAGAAAATAAGTGATGATGGATAGCTTCTTTTAATACAACAAAAGTGAAAATTTAACAAAGTAATTTCAAAGATAGCAAGATTCAGAGACAAGTTTAGTGGGGAAGATCCGAAGGGATGTAAACCTGCACTTTATACTCTTGGAACCTGTATCTTGTACCTGGAACATAACCAGGCCAATACAGGGACGTGAAGAAGAGGAGAGGTGTCTCCAGAGGCAGCAGCACTGTTTACTCTGGATTTGCACCAGCTCCATGTCTGGAATAACTCTGTTGTAGCCTGGGTCATATCACAGAGATGGTGTACTGGATGGTGTTGCCTTTCTGAGGCTTGTGCTCTGGAAAGCGTATTCAGCTCTGGAGTCCCCAACACAAGAAGGACATGGAGCTACTGGAACGAGTCCAGAGGAGGGCCACGAAGATGATCCGAGGGCTGGAGCACCTCTGCTATGAAGTCAGGCTGAGAGAGTTGGGGCTGTTCAGCCTGGACAAGAGAAGGCTCTGGGGTGATCTTATTGCAGCTTTCCAGTACTTAAAGGAGGCCTACAGGAAAGCTGGAGAGGGACTTTTTACAAGGGCGTGTAGTGACAGGACAAGGGGCAATGGATTTAAACTGAAAGAGGGCAGATTTAAGTTAGATATAAGAAAGAAATTCTTTACATTGAGGGTGGTGAGGTACTGGAACAGGTTGCCCAGAGAAGTTGTGGATGCCCCATCCCTGGAAGTGTTCAAGGCCAGGTTGGATGAGGCTTTGGGCAACTTGGTGTAGTGGAGGGGTTCCCTGCCCATGGCAGGGGGGGTGGGACTAGATGATCTTTGAGGTCCCTTGCAACCCTAACCATTCTATGATACAAAATGGATTGGATGAGTACTAGCATTAAGGGATAAAATGCTTTCTCTCTCAAGGATTTGAATTCAAACTTCCCAAAACTTGGAGTGATCTAAATACTGGCTGGTTCATTACCTGCCTCTTCCTTCCAAGTCACATGGAAGAAATAGCATATTCATTAGTTGGACTGTGGTTCTGATCATAAATAATAACACTTTGGTTCTCATAGGAGGATTTGGACTCCTAGAGGCAGGGTAGACTAGTTTTGTCATCTTGATAGAAAAGCATATTTTCCAGCTTTTACAAGAAATTTTTGTATTGCTTTCTATTAAATTTTCACAACTGTGGAAATGCTTGCTTTTTTTTCTCGACAACTGCTTGCTTTTTTTTTCCTTCTGGGGGGAAAAACTCATTCTTAATACTTCCAGATTTCTGGTCAGCAGTATAGTTTTTTTGTTTAATTTTCAATTTTTTTGTTTAAATTGAATGGTAATGGTAACAACATAGAGCTTGATGAAGAACAGCCACTCATAGTAGATTAAAACAAGGATTGTTTCCCTTTGGTGGCTGAAGCCAGATTTTTTTTGTTTGTGTGTTGGTAGTTTTTATACTTAAAAAAAGAGACTGAGAACTCTGAAAATAGTTGTTTCTGTGCAGGTTCAGATTGCTTCTGTATCTGCTCCAGTGCTTGTTGTCAGGAGAGTGCTAAAGCACTGGAGACTACTGAATCTCTTCCAAGTCTGACCTTGTGAGCTCTGGGGAGAGGAGGAGCAAAGAAAAACATACCCGAGTCTTTGTTCAGCTACCACTTTGCATTTTCCAACAATGCTTTAGATGACCCTGGCTTTTCACTTCATAATGAAGCATCCTGTTGCATAAAGCTCGAGCTGCAATGTTGCTCTGGCTCTAGGAAAACACACTTTTAATACTCATTTAGCAGAACTATTTCTGTGTAGAAAACTGAAAGCTTTGTAATGCACGCTGTGAACCAAATAGTGTTTGAATATGGATTCCCACTGCCCCCTTGTGTTTGAGGAGTTGATATTCATGGTTTTTGACTATGTATGTGAGCCACATCTTGAGTCATGTCTGAATGTGGTTTGTCCCTTCGTAGTAGTGAGGGATTCATTCAGGCATTAAAGTACGTGGCCTTTCAGACTTCTAGTTAGAATTTCTAGATTTACTTAGTTGTTTTCCAGCTGTTCCTTCGTGCTGCATTGGTAGTAATGAAGAATCATTTCTGTCTCTCTTTAGGGGAACTGCTTGGAGTTTTAAAAATTGCCCCAGGTTTTCCCCTGGATCTCTTTGATTTTTCTAAGGATGAAACTTACGGAAAATAATTTTGCAGGGAGCTAGACAAGCCTTCAAGTATGCAAAGGTGATTTTTTTTTTACCAACATCAGAAGAGTTTAGACCTGAGCTTAGATCAGGATGATTCTGCTCTGAATGAACTAGAGCCTTTTTTTGATCAAGATGAAGTATTTTGTGCAAAATTTTCAGTGCAAATATATGAAAGAGCATAATGTAAGGCAACAGCAACTGCCCTCACACGCGCCTGGTTTACAGACACCAGAGGTCTTGCTTTGGCAAAGTCTGTTACTATCCTCCTAGCGATATACTGAGAGGTTGAGTAGGACTGAGCATAAAATATGGATCTTTGTGGCAGGAGCACATGAAAATCCACTTTCTACCTAGTTCTTGTAATTCTTACATTGTTTTTAAGATTGTGTCCAACGAGGCACAAATTACAGTGTGTATTGTAGCCCTTCTATAAAAGTTGGTTTGGAGTTTGACAGTCTAGTATTTGAAGTGTCTTTGTTTTCATACAGGGATATCTCTCTGATCTGTTCTGCTTCAAATTCCTGATTTCTGAAAGATTGATCAGTGTCCTTTAAAGAACAGAATGGCAGATTGCCAGCACAGTTGAGATGTAGTCAACTAAAAGCACTGTTTATCTTCCTCATGACTGAGGGACTGAATGTTGTTCTGGTTACTTTGCAACTTGTACATTATTAAAAATTACTGTACCCAAGTGCTCCACAGTGAAATAGATTCCTTAATACTTCCTGATTTTCTTGGAGGTGTAACACATGAATCATCTCAGAGGACAACTGAGTCCAGTTTGGGTACTGTTTTTTTTTGCACTAAAACATCAGTCTGTATTATGTGATGCACCCATCAGAGAGCAAAGCTTATTAGCAGCAGCATTAAAGCTGGTGGCATATAGCCGAAGTATTTAAAGCATCAGTCACCTTTAAGTTCAGCTTTATTCTCCAGTGGTCTCTGAAACGTGCTGCTGGTTTTAGCTGTGATAGTGACACCAAGTTTTCTTGGGAGAGTCATATCCATTGTCTAGGTGGCTTTAGTTCAGTATTGTAACATCTGCTTGTGTGGCAGAATTGATGTCAGCAGCAATTGGACCCCAGCTGCTTTTTAAAGCTGTGCATAAGAAGGAGTGATGGTTTAGAACTAGTTCAGGTCACATCTAGATGGTGACCACCAGTTATTCTCTAGCGCCCTAGTAACTCTGGGTGGAGTTTTTCCCTTTCTGAGAAAATGATTTCAAAGTGCTGTAGCTGCAGCTGCCTCAGGATGTATATGTCAGCCTTCCCAGAAGTAGCTGATCTAGGATATTTGTTTAACATTTGCAGTTTGCCATTTCAGTAGTGTAGCAGTCAATGGAAAGGAAGGTTCCTCTGAACAAAGAGCAGTAGTGTAGGGCTTTGTGCACAAACTGAAGCCAGCATTTGCATTATGTGCTGGCATTTCTTTGGTGCAGAGGGATGGAGAATGTGACTTCTATCATTCAACTTTAATGAAACAGTAATGGAGTTAAATATCAGGCATGGAAATACTTGTATTTGAGATAACAGGACATCTGAATGGTGGAAAAATTGTCGTTTCTTAATGCTTGAACATCCAGATTTTATCTACGAAGATGTTGATGCAAGAAACTGTTCGTAATCTTCCCTTGGGGGAGGGAATTGGGAGTATGTATTCTATATTAACGCTGTTTATCCTTCGTAACAAGCATCTAGAAATAGAAATAATCAAGGAAATAATTTTACCAAAGTTCCAGTGTTGGAATGAATGAGTGTAAATGATTTATGACTCCAAAGATCTCCTCTTCTTCTTTGTGTGCTGCCTTTAGGTGGGCAATACTGAGGAACCAGATGAGATGCCGTTGCCAGATTCTGAAAGTGTGTATGTTATTCCTGGAAGTACTTTGCTATGGAAGATAACTCCAAGACCTCCAAATTCAGCACAGGTCAGCTATGCTTCTACTTACCGAAAGTTTGTGCTGTCCTGTTACTCTGTGTGTTCCACGCAAAGCAAATCCATTTGTTGTCTTTTTCATTAACAAGCATGGATTTGCCTGTTTACTGCAACAAACTTTCCCACTACAACTGTAACTCTAATGTTGGGTTGGAGGAATAACTGCCACAGGCATGACTCTAGTTAGCTGAATTTCTCTGGAAAATGGGATGCTTCACATAGCTAGTGGTATGGGGGATTTCCTCACCTCTTCTCTCCACCCTGCTCCCCTCACTAAGGCACTTCACCTTGTGAGAAATGTCTTCTGAAGAGCTTTATTAGAGTTCAGACACTTCCTAGGAGATGCTTGCAAAGCCTGTGTAGCATGAGTTGGAACGCGAGGGGCTGTGGAGCTGAAGAGCCAATTCACAGAATGTGTGCAACTGGAAAAACAAAGAATTGGAACAAGAAAAGGCACCCTCAGTGGGTTAGTCAAGGGAGGAATATCTCTACAGACATAAGGAAAATACCAGTAGGACTGGAAAAAGAAGGCTGAGAGAGAAGCAGTGCACTGAGTAATTGGATGCTGGCCTGGTTAAACAGAAGCACCAAGAATCACCTTCACTCTACCTGACAGTGCAATTTTGCTGGTATCCCAAGTGTTCTTACCTGGAGTGACTAATAAAAGAGCACTTGGATGTTTGCTTTTAGACAGCAGTTTAGAGACATTGTAAAGTCACTTTTTATCCTTATCTCTGAATTTCAGATGTATAATTTTACTAGCTTTGCTATGGCTTTGAATGAGTTGGACAAAGAAATGGAGAGTGTCATTCCCAAAACTGACTGCCGGCTACGACCAGATATCAGAGCCATGGAAAACGGAGAAATAGGTAACTTCAGTTATTGGCAAAGGTGGTTTTATTTTTTGTTAAAGCTGAGGGACTGGGAAAAAGGAAACTGAACATTCAGTTTGTTAGATGAGCTGTTAAAGTATCTACCCATAAACATACGTTCCTCTGTGCTGCAAATCAGTACCTCTAATGCAGCCTTCTGCAGGGTTGTGGTATGCTTCTGGTGAAAGGTGTGTCCTCCATCTGTACTGGGTCTGGTTGGGATGGAGTTAGTTTTCTTCTTAGCAGCCCATATATGGTGCTGTGTTTTAGATTAATGATCAAAGCAGTATTGATAAGATCTCAATGTGTTAGCTATTGCTGAACAACACTTGCACAGCATTAAGGCCACCTCTGTTTCTGGGGTGGGCAAGAGGCTTGGATGGGACACAGCTGGGACAGGTGACCCAGACTGACCAGGGAGATACTCCGTACTGTATAATGTCATGCTTAGCAATAAATTGTGTGTTGGGGCCAAGTGGCTGTTGCTTGGAGACTGTCTGGATACAGATGTCTGCTGGTGGAAGGTAGCAAGCGATTGCTTTGCATTGCTTTTTCTTTCTTTTTTTATCCCCTTCACTTACTAAACTGTCTTTGTCTTGACCCATGAGGGTTTTTTGCTTTTGTGCTTTGATTCTCTACCCTAACCCACTGGGGTGGATGGGAGTGAACAAGTGGCTCAAGTGCTTAATTCCTGGCCAGGAACCCACCATACCATCTACTTGCTTATGTTCTTACATGTAAGCAAGAATCTTAAACTTCATGATGCTATGCTTTTTATTTAGCTTCAGGCCCTCTACAGTGCTCCACAGTCAAGCTCTAGAATTGGAAACTAGTCTGAGACAATCTCTGATCATCGAAAGGAATTATTTCTGAACTTTTCGGTTTTCTGTTTCCATCTGCTTAATGCAAAACTATTTCGATGTGCCATTTCTGAGAAATGCAATCAAAACTACTTAAGTGAAACTGCAATGCCAAATACACGTGATGCAAAATTATTCTTCACTGGGAGTTGAACACTTTTGTTGTCCTAAAATAGTGAATTAAAAATATATTGAGACTTTCAGTGAGTAAAAGCAGTGTGCTTTTTAGAAACCTTGTAGAGATTGTTACTGTAGATGCCAGAGTGAAATGTGTCTTAGTTTTCTGACATGTGACTTGGTGTTAAATACTTCGATATGGTGTGGAGCAGCCTTACCCCGGCCCTCTCTTGCTCCTTTTTCTTTGGCATTTTGCTTATTAAAGCAGGACGGCCAGCTTTGTAAGCTAAAAGCATGGGGGCTCTTGCTTTCTCTGGATTACTAAGTGGTTGGGGTAAGTCATGAAACCTGATTGTTTCACCTACGTAATAACACAATGACTGTGACTATTTCTGTTAAATAGTCTGAGATCTAGATATGAAAAACAGTGACATGGGCATAATACAGTGCAGTTGAGGGTTTTTTCTCAGAAGCAGATGAGCACTTTGAGACTTTTAAAAAAACAGATCAGTGAATTCCCACAATTAGTCTCTCCTGCCTGTGGAACTCTGTTGTGGCCAGCAGCATGGACGTACTTGGCTCATAGCACTACGACTACGTTGTCTGTCTAAACTCCAAGCACACATAGGTATGCCTTTAGGAACAGACCACACTTCTTAACTGTACTAACAGCATAAAGCTTGTCTCGCAGATGGACTGGCAATATGCAGTGTGTTAGTAGCTGGCAGGGTAACTGAGAACGGCTGATACAACTAGTTGAGAGAATCATTTCTGGAAGACTATGTTTATGAAATGCTTTTTGAGGGTTCAAGTATGAAAGATTACCCTTCACCTAATCTGCTGCTTAGCCTGCCTTACACCTCAGACTTTCTGACTATCTTTTCTGCCAAACAGAAGCACTTGTTCTGCTTATTTAAGACCATGACCCCATGCTACCTTAGTGTGTTAAAAAAAAATGAAGGGATGCTGCAGATAGACAATTCTTTGTGGTTTGAAAATGAATATTCCAAACCCCTATTGATCAGGAACTAGGCACTAATAACAACTTGCCTCAAACCTTAACAAGAAGGAGGTGGCCAGACTTCTGAAATAAATCCAGCATCTTTAGTCAGTTTTCCTACTGAAGTAAATTGCAGGTATGTCACCTCCCCTAGCTCGCACTTATGAAAACAATGTTTATTTGTGGCCTGAGGACCCTGAAAACGTGTATTGTGCAGTCTTAAAGACTGGAATTCCATTGGCTGGTCTTATGTCACAGCTGCCCTGGCTTTGCTCTTAGACTAAACCAGCAGCTCTTGTGTGTTACGTAGGCTTTTCAAATGGACAACTTCTACTATTTCCCTTACTTACTTGCTGAGTGTCTCTCTAATATTATACTTTAACATGTTTTATATTTCTGTGTATTTTTGTTCCTTCAAGATCTGGCTAGTGAAGAAAAAAAGAGGCTAGAAGAAAAACAAAGGACCGCCCGCAAAAATCGTTCAAAATCCGAGGAAGACTGGAAGACAAGGTGAGTGTGCTTGCCTCTGTGTGTGTAGTTACATAAAGGTTTCGAACATTCAGGTTAACTGCCAGTCCACACCAGTGATGTGCAGTGTTGTGTCAGCATGAAGGGCTGATGTCATCAGGTTTGGTAGTGCCACTGTTGTATTTGCAGACTTGATCCCTGTGGGCTGTAGTGCTTCTAGAGAGAAGCGTCAGGCTTGGTCTCAGCTCCTTCCCTCACGCTGCTTGCACACCCGTATTCAGACACAAACTGCGTTGTCTTTCCTGAGCACCTCTTGGTTCTGACACAAAGTTGTGTTGCCACTGATAGCTGCTTGTAAGGACTGTTGTTGCTGGTTAATTTATAGTTGCCTCAAATTTGCATGCTTGGCTGAAAAGAGGAAGAAGTGCTTCCTCGGGTGAACTTGATAGCTTATTGCCTGTGACTTCTCAGATCAGTGGCTGTGTGCTGGCAACACTGTATTCCCACTGCATACAATTATTCTCAAAGTTGGTGGAACGACTTAATCACCCAGATATCCAAGTCATTTTCTCCTTTCTGAGAGGGTTAGTAACTACAAAAGCTAGTACTTTTATGGGAAAAGTTGGCTTACAAAGGATCTGCCAGGATGTTTTTGGTTGTTTGCTTTTTGCTGCAAGATGAGAGGGGTCAGTTTGGAGCTCTTACACGCAAGCTAAATAGGAACTGTGAAAACATGACCAAATGAATCTAGTTTCACCAGACAAGGTCTGTTTAAAAGTGTAGTAATAAATTGGCAGTCTCTTCACAGGTAAAAAAAATAGTACGGCTAAACTCTTAGTCTAAAAGTAAGCAAGCTGCATCTCTTCCCAATTAACCAGCTATTAATACATGCAGACACTGTGGATTAAGTATCTTTGAAATGTCTGTTTGTAACTATAAATCACTTTTTTCTCTTTTTCAAATGAAGTAACCCATCATCCCAGAGTCCCAGGTTTGGACATGTCTGCCTTTGTCTTTTTCCTGTGCTTGCTCTCCTGAAGTGTTTGGGTTGGTTTGCCCTGAGACTGGTGGAAAATTACATATTTGTAATGCGTCCAAGTAAACGTGTTAAGTGCTGGACAGCCTTGCACCTCCTCCTTCCTTCCCTGAATTCAGAGTTGTTCTAGCTCTCACCAAAGTGTTTTCAAAGCAAGAGATAGTCACACTGTGTTCTTCCAGGTGTCTGAAGGAGCTGAAGGTATAGCTCAAAGCACCTGGGGTTGGTATTGGAAATGGTTGAATTCCCAAGGGGGCAACATAGAACAATGGTTTTCGGGGTGTATAATTTGTGCAAACACCATTCACAAGGTCTTCAGTTATTGTGCAGGTGCTGTAGACCTGCTCAGCACTTGCCTGGGATATCCTTTAAGAACTCTTTGTTTTCCAGGATGTTTCTACAGCTTCGGCAGAAAATTCCTAGTGCCTGATCTCTTTAGTAGGAATGCCTAGTGTCACTGCCTCCACAAAGGATGAAAGTAAAGTGTGTAGGGAGAGTTGTGCTTTGAGGGAGGGGAAATGCATACTGTGAAGGGAAACTCTCCTGCCTGTTCCCAGACAGTCAACTGTAGGTCTTAATCTGCAGCATAATATAAACTGACATAAACTGCTGTAACTTCCCTGCCACAGAAAAGCAGGCTTCTTCCTTTGTCTAGTAGAGTTCCTGCCTTGTAAGACAAATCTCCAAAGTGATTTTTTCAATTATTTTGAATCCACTTTAAAAGTGGGGACTTGGTGTTTCTGAAGAAGTGATTCATGTTGAACACTTAATGTTTTCGAGACTGACCAGTAGTCTTGAGTAAAAGACTAGTTCAGTTCTGAAACACAGAAACAGTCTCTTGCTTTTAATGAAAGTCAGTCCCCTCCTTCCCCCATCACTTACCTGGCTTGATTATCTGATTGCTTTGGGTCTTCTGTGTCTCAAACTTAGTTCTTCCCATTGCTTTTCCCCTTCCTATTGAAGTAGGTGGTCACTGGAGGAGGGGTACATTGTCCTGACCTGTACAAGTGTTGAAGACACTAGTGAGGTATCAGGTGGTAGAACTTAACATGAGAGACAAAGTAACTGTGCTTATAGCCCTGCCTCTTGGCAAACGCTTGGCTCTGGAATGAGCTGCTGTTACCTGTGAACTAGACGTGTGTGCACCAGTTACTGTGGAAGAGCTGCAGAGGTGATGCAGCAGTGAACTGTGTGCAGTACAAAACTGAATGACTTCTGTTTTCTGTTCACCAGGAGAATCATTGAAGCATTCAACTGTTCAGTTTACCAGCATTAAAACAGTACAAGGCACTTCTTCTGATACACATCTCACATCTTCTGAGCTGAGCAAGACTTGCCTCCTGGCTGCCCTGCTTTGTAACTGACACTGAAATGCTGGTGGTCCTTATGCTTTTGCTGTTTAAAGAGATCAAGTCATATTTGGTCCAAGTGTGCTTTTAACCTCTGTTCTGAAACCTTACAGTACCCTGGAAGGGCAGAGCTGAGTTAGCACCTGCTGCCTTGCAGAGGTGTGATTTACTGAAGTGAGTGCCTTATCAGCAGGGAGGCAAATAAAGCAAGAACTGCCTTCTGTGGCCAGTGGAGAGGTGAAAGGAAGCTGTGGAGCGTATTAACCACAGAAGCAGCTTCTAGCAAGCAGACTTGTGCCATAAATGTGGCTTGGCAAAATATATCAAGCAGTTAAAATGCTCGAGGTCTGGTGCTGTGCAGCATGCTGTTGAGGCAGACAGCTGAGTGACCGGGCTCAAACAGAAAGCGGTGTTCAGTGATGTACTGCAGGATTGCCAGAAACAGGTGTGGGGGAGGAAGAAGGACAACAAACTTCTGTGCCATGGTGATTTGTCAGGGTTGTATTTACTGCTGGGGGGGATACTCGCCAGTCGTACAGCCTTGTAAGTGCACCTTATTTTGCAGATAACACACTCCCAAAAGGGTGTGTACACATGCGTGTGTAATCTGGGCATGTGCATACACAGTGCCTCCGGATTAGGCAGGAGGGAAGAGGGAAGAAAAGAAAGGAGGTGCTCAACTTCAGTGTTTCTACTAACAACCACCTTAGCAAAAGCTTGCAAGTAACCTCATGCAGATGGAACCAGCTTTCTGGGCATTCAGATGAGCCTCCCCGTGCTAAGGGTGTAATGCCACACAGTTAAGTTGGGACAAGCCAGGATGTTTCCCACAGCTGTTGGGTGATACTTCATCTACACCGAGAGGGGCTGGCACACTTGTTCTAAGTGCATAGCAAAACAAGGCTTTAAAAAACCAAGGGAAACCTGGACACTGGGCAAATGATGTTTTTCTGTTTTCAGGAGTGCAGTGCTTGTGGTGTTCATGTGTCTTGCAAAAACTGTTAACTGCTTATGCATGCCAGAATGATCGTTCACAACTGCTTTGAAGTAAAAAAAAAAACCAAACAACTGTACCTTTCCTTTTTTATGTGCTAGTCTTGACAGACTGCTTCAGGTGACAAAACACTGGTGTCAGTAATTTCACCTAGGAGACAAATGTCTTAAATGGTGTGGCAAAGGGGGAGATCTAGCCACTGAAGATGACTTTAAATTCATAAGTGAATTTAAAAACAAGGGGGCTCCTGCAATCACAGTAATCACTTTGAAGAGTAAACTGCTGAAGATGCAGCAAAGCAGTTCTGAACTTTTACAAAAGTGTGTTAATAACTTCACTAACATGCTCTGTGTTTCTTTGCAGATGGTTCCACCAAGGCCCCAATCCCTATACTGGTACACAGGACTGGCTTTATTCTGGCAACTACTGGGACAGAAACTACTTCAACTTGCCTGATATTTATTAAAATGCAATAAGGAGCCCATGACTGATGCAAATAAGTCTTAATCCATTTTAATGTTTCCCCTTGTTTTACTTATCTCCTGAGAAAAACTGACATGTTATCAAACAGAATATTAAGCATCTCCACAGTAAATCTGGTGGTACATGATCTGCAGTCCCATGGGCAAGGGAATAATTTTTCTGGCTGGTGGTAGGTCCTGTGTGGACAAAGTAAGTCACCATGTTCTCGAGCTGCCCTGTTTGCAGAATACACCTATATTAGGTTGTGGTGTATGAGGAATAGAACACTTTCTTCAAGCTGTTCTGTGAATACTTTCTTTTGTAGGTAACATTGGCACAAGTAAAACTGGTTTTATTTATTGTGACATGGGAATGTTTAAAAGCACACACAGTAATTGCAATACTCTGTTCTTAAATGAAGAAGGGTGTGTCACTTTTGTAAAGATGTAATTTTTCATGAAGTGACTTTTCTTTTACTAAAGTAACTCCCTTAAACCCTGAGCTCTGGTCAGAGATTCCAGAAGCATTCCCATCTGTGGAGCATTAATGCAGTTGTTTAAGCTGGCAACATTACTCAGAGGTATATATATTCAATGATTTGTGCAGTGTGTTTTGAATTTTGCTCTCCTGTTTTGCTACCAACCTTATGGTTTAAGGAATTAAGAGCCATTTAAAAACATCTACAGGTTTGACTTGAACTGCACACTAGCAACAGGTTTTAAAAGAATCTGTTTCATGCACTAGAAGTTCTGGTGCCCAGCACCACTGCAAGAAGGCAAGAACCTCATCAGTCCAGGACCCAGTAGAACATGGTCAGGGGGACAGGACCTGTGTCTGTACTGTGCAAACTCCTGGGAGGAAGTCTTGTGCATTTCAAAGGTAGTACAGCACCTCAGTGAGGCCTCCTGTACACAGCTGCTTTACCCCTTTTCAGTGGGGTGCATTCGACCTTAGAGTGTAAGTTTATATTGAACTGTGTACAGAGCTTCTAGAGGGCAGGCTGCTCTTTGTACAATATTTTAACTGCTGTCTGGAGGTTAGTGTTAATTGAATAATTTAATTGCTACTAAATAAAGGCTTCAAAACTTCTTGTGAGTGGTGTTTGACAGTGCTGACTTTTTCTGAGCAAGCCTACTCCAAAGGCTGCTGCAGTGAAGTTGTATATTGTGCTTCCCTGGGCTGCAGGGACCTCTTCCCTTAAGCAGCAGGTCTGCTTATGGGGGGGCAGCGGATGGCTGGGGAAGCTGAGTGTTCTCCTTCAATATGCAGTGAGAGTAGGCTACTGAAACTGTGACTAAGGCAATGAGATGCTTTCTATTTTTACTCTGTGCACTACTAGAATTACCCAGGTATGATGCTGAGACACATTTGCATAGATAAGGAAAAAGCCTTTTCTTTGGCAGCCTTTCCTGGGAGAGCCCAGTTCTAACAGTGACCTGCAGTGCAGGTATTCAATTCCTGCATCTAATCTTTTGGAAGCCTCATCTCCATGCTCAAGCCTCTACTCTGGCCAGCATTTCTTGAAGTCTCTCTTAATTTTCCTGTGTAGCTTCAAGGGGGATTCTGAGATATGTAGAAACAGCCTAAGAAGCTTCAGCAGGTCACACAGCACTGAATACTCAGTGCCAGGAAAAACAAAGTGTTGAATTTCTGCCTGCCCACCCAGGTTCCAGAAGGGGAAACCTCTACACAGTATCAACTTTGCTGTTTTGAGCAACTTCTGTTTCATAAGAACAGATTGTTTTTTTTTCCTAGACCCATACTTAAGGTCTGGCATATGTAAGTGCCCATACCTGTAGCTGTGAAACCTCTGAAGCAAAATAAACATACTTTCTCTTAACACTTTCCTGGAAGCATAACCTCAGCTGGCCTCTTTGAGAAACCTGTAGTTGGAATGAATTGACTTGTGTGTGAGGAATAGCTCCATCCTCTTGTTGAAAGTATGACTGTTCTCACTCCCACCATTTGTGGACAGTTCCTTCCTAGAGTATAATCCCAGCAGTACAGACTGCACCTGGTTACACTGAACTAACATTGGCTCTGTATGTGATCTGTGAGTACCACTGGGGCTTATGCATATACCATGGTAAGTACCCTGAAGAAGCTGGGCCACTCTCCAATGAAACAGCTGCAGCAGATGTGTGTCAGTGGTTGTAATTCACACAAAGTTAACATTCAGGATGTGCTGTGTTAGGGAAGTCCAAAATGCACAGGAACACATTTTTGCTGGCTTTTTTGTAGCATTTGTATTCAGTTACTTGATTTATTACAATGTAAACCCTATTCCTCCTGAACTCTTCCTCAAGTTGACACAGCTTCTCTTCTCAACCTGTTTAAAAAAAATAGCATGAACTCAGTACAAAGTGTGCAGCAAGAACTACTCTAATTGCTACCTCTATGTACTCTACGGTGAGGGTATTTTGCCACATTCTGATTACACAAATGCTAAAAGTGCAGGCTGCAGGCATAAAGATGTACATAAATGTGGGATTAAAAACTTGGTTGCTTTAGGCTAAAACTAGAGCAAGACTAATTGCAGAGTGTAACAAGCAGAGGAAGGCACTGGGTCTGTTCTGTATGACAAGTAGTTTAACTGCTGATCTTAAACCTTAATTTATTTTGAAACGGGTTAAATTAAACTTTTAGTAGTAAAATCCACACAGTAGCATCTCTTTCTGCAAGACCCATGCAAGAAGCAAGTGTACTTCAGGGCCCTGCTTTGGGAACAGGGCCTGATGTAACAGTAATCTAATCTATCCTGCAGTACCATAACTTTCTGCAAGAGTGTTTATACCTGTGTGCTTATCAGCAGCTGGTGAGCCTTTCTTTGGAGACATCACACCATCCAGAGGGATGGCAACTAAGACAGCATCAAGTGTGCGTGGCTGAGCACCAGCTTCCTCTGCAGAATTAGAACTGGGGCTTGTTGAATCTGTTTCCTCATCAGCTGGCCTGGCCACTGGCACGGGGACTGTAGTAAATCTCCTCCTAGCACCAGCATCTTGCTGTGCAAAGACAGCATGGCCAGGAACAGGTTTCCAGTTCTCTGTGTTCTGCATGTTAGAGCCCACTAAAATGAAAGGTGGAGCATTTCCCTTCTTGCTTGCTTCTTGCATCACATAAATTGGAGCAGGCCGTTGTGACAGCTGACCACATTGTTGATCTTGCCCCCTGGAAAGACTGAGGGCTGCCTGAGAACAAGGACCACCAGCTCCAGCCAGAGGAAGGGATGGTTGTGATTCTTGACCTTGCCTCAAGTCAGTTAGGCAATAGAGGGTCCACACGTTAGAAGGTGGTGGTGGCTGTCCTGCTTCTCTTGCTGCTGTGGCTACAAAGATAAAAATAAGAGTGCTGGTAGCAGGAGCAGTGGATTCCAGTTGTATTGTAAATCCTTATGTCTAAAACAAACATAGCTGCACTTGGTGAAAGCAAGCATGTTGGAAAAGGGGCTGGGATAGCAAACACTGCTTGGCAAGAGGCTGACAAACACTTGCAGCCTAGAAAACATTAAACTGTTTGTGATCAGAGCTGAGGCTCTTTGGGTAAGCATTTGTCTGGTATTTCTGAAACTTGTCAAACTCTTCTAAAAGTTTAGGTTTTTTTAAAAGAGCCAATGTTAATTTACAAATCTGCCTAAGCTCAGCTCTGTGCAATGTTTTGCTGAGACCTCACAGGTGTTCGACTGCTCCTGGGGCCTGGGACAGATTCTGCAGTACCAGAGAGACTCAGGGCAGGGGAGCTCCACTCTGGAGGGCTTCTCCACCTGGGCAAGGAAGGAGCTGGACACCTATCACCAGAGGAAAGAGATGCTGGTGAGGGCCTCACCAAGAAAGGTAGATAAGCACCAGCTCTCTTGCTGTTTGTGAAACTGATGACCAGTGCTTAGCCCAGCTGCAGAAACTCACCAAACTCAAGAGAGCACAGGCAACCACCACCACCATTTTTCTTCTAAATGGAAAACCTCCTAAGTCAGTGCTGGAATACAAGATCTTTCAGGGGAGAAGAATCAAAACTAACATGTGCAGCAGGGCCAAGCAGACAGTGTGGTACAATTTCTGACAAGTCATCTCTACCCTGCATTGCACTGACATAGATGCTTTTCCACTTAATGACCACTGATGAAGCTGTAGAGCTGGAAGCTGAAACTGGAAAATAACAAAGACCCCAAAACTTTCTTACCTGACAAGTCATAAACTTGCTCAACTGATTCCATTTGTGCTGTAGATTCTGTTCTCTCAGGCTGGCACACTGAATCATCAGCAGATGGACCTAAGGTTGTAGCACCTGAGCCCCCGCCTGCATTTAAAGGCTGCTCAATCTTTAACAGATAAGCTGTTTGGTCTACAAAGGGAATGATTATTTTCTGTGGAAATTGCTCTACATAAGGTGAAACTTCTGCATCCATAATTGGCTCATCATTCCAACACAGTGATGGAACCTCAGTGGTCGAGGTAACCTCAGCTCCACTGCAGTAAGGCACAGCCTGCAATGGATCTTTAGGAGCAGGTGATGGTTCTTCCCACAAGCGGACTGGGGAAGCTTGATATACATCATTTGTTGAGACATCAGCCCAGCTGTCTGAGGAACCTAGTTCTCCAGCTATGGAGGACTGACTCCACACGCCTGGTTGTGACCTAACAGCCTCTAGAGAAGCCTCAGCTGTTGGGACAGCAGAAGCATCTTCAGCAGCACCTTCTACTGGTGTAAATTCATTCTCTGATGCCTCAGAGTCTTCGTGAAGAGTCTGCACACTGGTTGCCACATCCCTCACAGAATAAAAAGAACCACCGTTACCTAGCACATGGGCAGCAAGCTGTGCAGGCTCAGCAGGGACATACACCAGTTCAGGTCCCTCAGGGGATGAAGGTCCATCAGATCCAAAGGAGAATTTGCTTTCTGCAATGGAGCTGGCAATTGATGGGTGTTGAGTTACTTTGGAGCTATACTGAGTATCAGGTTCTTCAAGGAGCTCATCCTCCTCTGTGGCAGTACACTTGTCCAGTTGCTTGGGCTCCCCAGAAAGCAAAGTATCTGTGTTCTTTGATGTCTTCTCTTCCAGCTCCTCATTCCCATATTCTGCAAGATAAAAAGCACATAATGGCAGTACATAAGCAACTGTTTCCATTTATTTAAATAAAGTTAAGAGTGATTTCAGCACCAACTCAGTTGGATGCCCTACAGCACATTTATGAGGTTTCCCAGGTTGCAGAGATGGAATAATTTAAGGAGGGGGTTTGCTGCTTCCCTATCAATAAGGGGGAAGAAAATTCAGAGGGCAGCGATACCACTTGAAAACCTACAAAAACTTAACTGTGTTCTGATCCTGCAGTGATGGCTACAATCTTATCTACTACCCACAGACATTGCTACGCTTACAGGTTAAAAGATGAAACCTTTAAGTACATCAGATAAGCCAGCTAGAAGACAATGGCTCCTCTTTGCAACACCTCAGATCTCTTTGGATCCATACAAGTTATTTTATATGCATAGATGGCAACATTTTAGCTTCCTCAAGAATCTTGATTAGTTGAACTGACAGGCATCCAAGTGAAGAACAGCCTTAAGACATTAACGAGTTTTAGATACAGAGTGAAAAATGGCTTCTAGATGAGTTATCAAGGGAGGAACACAGAGTACTCCTGGGATTGAAACAGTGTTCCCTCACAGGGTTAATAAAACCCTCAGCATTGGAAAAAAACACAATCCAAGAGGTCTGGTTTATTAGCAAACATTGGTTGATACATAAAACCAGCACAGCAGCAGAAGAGAAGGCCAGTTAATACATCATCACAGCTCAGCACTGCACTGCTCATGACTGGATGAGATCAGAAACTAGGGGAGAAATGTAACTCAAAGGATGACAGAGCTAAATCTCCTCTGCAAACGCATTATTCTGACTGCCATTTCAAGCCAACACTGACCCATTTATAATCCAACGTCAGTATCGGGCAGTGCCACAGAGCAAAGAAAGGCTCCCTTGCAGCTACACAAGCTGGCTGGCTACCTACTGGCACACCACCAGTCCCAAAACCCATGCTGGCACTGCTGGGGGGAGACTCCAGAGGAAACCTTCCTCAAGCTTGCTAAGGAATTCCCCTCTGATCATCCTGTCGTAACACCAGGGAAGTTAAGTGACCACACAGCAGGGGATGGACAACACAAGGAGAGGGACTGAGTGGTCTATAAGGAAAAAGGTGCAAAACAGACCTGTGTTGGAGGCTTGTTGAACATGCAGGGTCGGTTCACAATCACATAAGCAAATGACTGACATGACAGGCACTCAGAAAATGTCTGCATTATGCAGCCACTCTCCATCACACTTGAAAAGTCACGGCAGTCAAGCAAAGTCCACAGTGACTAAAGAAAAGGGAATATGGCACTCATTTTTTAAAAAGGTACAACGGAGGACTCTGGGAACTACCAACTAGTCAGCCTCAGCCCTGTGCCTGGTTAAGATCATGGTACAGATTCCCCTGGAAGATATGTCAAAACACACAGGAGGCAGAAAGGTGATTAAAGACAGCCAGCAGGGCTTCACCAAGGGCAAATCGTGCCTGACTAACATAGCAGCCTTCCACGACGGAGTGACAGGATTGGTGGACACAGGAAACTACGGATGCCATCTACCTGGACTTCTGTAAGGCCTTTGATACAACATTCTGTAGAAACATTTCTGGAGAAAAATGAGTTTGATGGATGGACAAAGAATTGGCTGGATGGCTGCATCCAAAGAGTTACAGTCAACAGCTGAATGTCCAAGTGGAAACCAGTAGCGAGTAGTGTCCTTCAAGGGTCTGTACTGAGATCAATGCTAACATCTTCACCAGTAACAGAGCTGGGATTGAGTGCACCCTCAGCACGTTTGCCGACAACACCAAGCTGAGCAGTGCAGTTGATTCTCTAGAGGGAAGGGATGCCATCCAGAGGGATCTGGACAGGCTTGAGGAAGCCATGTGTACTTCATCAAATTCAACAAGGCCAAGTGCAAGGTTCTGCAAATGGGTCAGGGCAATCCCCAATATCACTACAGACTGGAGGAGGCACAGATGGAGAGCAGCCCTGTGGAAAAGGACTTGGGGGGACTGGTGGATCAAAAAATGGGCATGAGCTGGCAATGTGGGCCCACAGCCCAGAAAGCCAATCGTATCCTGGGCTGCATCCGAAGAAGCGTGGCCAGCAGGTCGAGGGAGGTGATTCTGCCCCTCTACTCTGCTCTGTGAGACCCCACCTGGAATACTGCATTCAGCTCTGGAGTCCCCAACACAAGAAGGACATGGAGCTGTTGGAGCAGGTCCAGAGGAGGGCCACAAAGATGGTCAGAGGGCTGAAGCACCTCTCCTATAAGGAAAGGCTGAGAGAGTTGGGGCTGTTCAGCCTGGAGAAGACTCTGGGACCTTGTTGCAGCCATTCAATAATTAAAGGAAGCTTTAAGAAAGATGGGGATAGACTTTTTAATAGGGCCTGCATTAACAGGACAAGGGGTAACAGATTTAAACCTAAAGAAGGTAGATTCAGATTAGTTTTCAGGAATTTTCTTTACATTGAGGATGGTGAGGCCCTGGAACAGGTTGCCCAGAGAAGTTGTGGATGCTCCATCCCTGGAAGTGTTCAAGGTCAGGTTGGATGAGCCTTTGAACAACCTGATCTAGTCAAAGATGTTCCTGCCCAGGGAAGGGGGGTTGGGCTAGATGATCTTTAAAGGTCTCTTCCAACACAAACCCTTCTGTGATTTTATGATTATGCAAAAATTGCTGTGTAATATCATTAACGCAACAGTTGCAAATGCACCAAAATTCAGTCTTTGGTGATACTTCAAGTTGCACTGCAACATCCACCTTTCATTTTTAGAAGAAGAAAACTGCTTCAAGTGTTGAAATCAGTGGTGGTTAGCTTTTTTCCGAGCAGATTCTAAGCTAGAAACAAAAATATTCTGTTCATAGCTGGGGCTTCCCTTCATTGCTGTCGTTACCTCAGTTACAGCTCTCCATCTATAGACCAAGGCTGTCTCAAGTGCTGTCTGGTTCCAGGGTTACTTGGAACCCAGCTTAGGTGGCCTTTTTGACTAAAGGGGATATCTGAAGCTGCCAACACCGTAACCAGATGATGGAAACCCAAACCAGGGGGGCAGATAGAAACAGGCTGTGGGCTAGAAAACACACCCATACCACTGCTCCCACACAACCTTCATGCAGCACCACGTATTCCAGCCCTTACAGCCAAACCCAGGCAGCAGATGAAAGCTCCCACCACTTCCCAGAGGAATCAGTATCCCGCAGAACTAAATTATCTTTTTATAAATAAAGAGATACAATATCTATTTGCAAAGAATAGCTAAGTGTAAAGTCACTACCTGCTTAGGGCGTGATAAATCGCACTGCAGTATCTTAAAATTAAAATGACCAAAGGCATCTAGGGTCTCCTCTATCTCAAGGAGAAAGTTCAGCATCCCAAAGGACTAATTCTTCCCACATTAAATAGAAGCAAGTGCTTTCTGAAGATGCTTGCCTTTTCAATAGCCCAGAACCTATGCGCCTCTTTCACGTGACTAGATAGAGATGGATGCATCCCATAATAAGTGATAACTACTTGCATCCATACGGGTAACAATATTGTCTCAAAATATCTTAAAAGTACAAACAGCAAGTATCTTACCGCTAACGAACTCAAACTTTTCAACCAGTTCTGTTACATCCAGATTTGGATTCTCTGAAAACAGAAGCAGAAATTCAGCTGGAGTAGGATAACACTCGCAAATAGCTCAGCTCTTCAGATGAAGCACTGGTAGGAACAAACCTTCTCGAAATGCGATGAACTCTTGGAAATAAAGAGCAATAAACTCAGCAACGTCATCTGGATTGTTTTCTAGGACAGCCTGGCTCACCCCCTCAAGCAGGCTCCTGAGGCCGTGTGGAACAATCACCCTGGTCTTTGAAGACTGCATCTTCAGCCACTCAAGCTGGCTTATGGCTTCTTATCTGTACAAACAGAACCCCTCAGCTGAGCATCTGTCCTGCCCCAGTGTGAAGTGTCTAACACCAACGACATGACCGCAGCTGCCTATCCCTTGCCACGCCATCAATAACCCTTCCTGCACCCCTTCACAAACACTCCTTTAAGTTGAAGGGGGTATTTACCATTTGCAGTGACCAAATCCTTTATTGCCTCCTCAGCACTTTAGGCAGCAGGAGGCACAGTCAAGGTCAGCCAACTAGAGAACCACAACGTGAATTCAAACCCATGCCCTGAATTCCCTTTTTAAAAGATAAAACCCACCGCAGCACCCCCTCCATGAGCCACAAAAGCAGTTCACGTTCAAGTAAAGAGTCTACAGAATGCTTTTTCCTTCCCCCATCCCTTCCTCCATCCCCTCTGGTACTTGCTCCCTCCTGGTCCCAGCCTCCTGCCAGCACTCCCCGAAGGCCACTGCACCCAGCCAGGAGAGCATGACATCACAGTGCCCTTACATCAACTGCATGGCAGTGCTGAGGTTCACAGCCATCGGTGTCTGCGCTCCAACGTTACTGTTTGTTGGCCAAAAAGGATCACGGGAAGGAGCGGGAGGCAAAAGACACAATTAAAATTTACAGTCGGGCAGCCAGAGGGCTCCGCAGCCGGTGACACTGTCACTCATCAGCCAGGGCTTTCCTCCTGCAACAAACACCTCGATTCCCATTGTCACACAAGAATCGGTGCATTTAACGGAGACGACTGTTTGAGCACAACTCTCATCTATAACCCTTTTCGTAATGTATTTTAAGACTGAAGTACGGTGTCATGGCTGCCATCGCTAAGGACAAGCGGCGTAAGGCCAGCAAGGAGGAGGCTGAGCACCCGCGGGCGCTGCCTGCCGCACGGTGCAGGGGAAGGAGCGCCTGCAGCACCCACACCCCATCAGCCGCTGCCTTTCCTCCCTTCCCGTGATGCCATTAAACCCGTTCCTGCTGCCTGCCACTGACTTGCCTTCAAGTGCGTAACTGGCTGATCCCTCGGCACAGGCAGAACCCCTCTGAGGGAGTGCGTCGCCTTTGCCGAAACACCCGCTTTCCTCACCAAACACGCCAAGCGAGGCGTCTTTCTCTCAGCGCAGGAAGAGTTTAACTTTGCGCTCGGTCTCGGGTTGTGATGACTTCACAGGACCCAGCGCTGCAACCTGCAGAACGCAGAAAGCCTGGCAGCCACGTTCCTCCCACCCCGCAGCCACGTCCCTCCCTCCCACCTCTCTGCCCACTGTGGCAGAGCGGGTCGGGGAACAGACCCACCCCCCAGTTCACAGCCCGGCCTTTTCAGACAGGTGTCATACAACACCCAAGAGATTTAAACCGATGCAACAGAATGCAAAACACAGCACCTGAGAAGCCAAGTTCCGTGGTGGCATCTAGCAGCAGCTCAGAGCAAACGGCTGGGGACTGTAACCTCTTCAGCCACGGCAGCTGCACCCAAAGAGGAACTGGATTACTCCTTAATACAGCTCCGTTCATACTGCAGAATCTTACAATTGCAAGGGCAAAACTTGAAATAAACCTCAGCAGCCCCAGGAATGCGTTTGCTTTCCAGTACACATTTTCAGTGGATACACACAAGATCATTTTCTGTTCCAGTAAAACAAGCACAAAAAAGGCAACTATATCGTGCCATATTTTCAAGGTTACCACTAACTGGGTTTCTGAGGATCATGAAGGCAGGAAGACCATGAGGGCAAGCCATGATCAGGGGTCTGCTGTGGAATAAAAACTTTTGTCCACCAACTATGCTACATATCAGCCTTCCTCAAAGTTGGAAAACCACCATCTGCCTACCTGCTCTTGCATTCCTGAGTGTCTGCATCTCTACAAAAACCTGAGGGGAATCCCAGGGAGCACTGAAGATTTAAGACTCAAGTGTTTAAAACATTTAGACTATCTACAATAGTTTCCTTTAACAAGTAACATATTAATAATAATTCAAAATTAACAGAATATTGTATCACTTTCAAGTTAGTTCACTGGAAAGTATGTTAATGGTAAACTCACCACAAAATGCTTCTTCCATGAAAGAATCCTTAGAAAGTAATTTCTCATTAAGAAAACCTCTCACGATAGCTCATCAGTCCTGGATAGTGACAATACAGACCACAATATTAAAAAAGTTAAATACGAATACGCTATGACTTATGAAATTAGGAACAATAGCTTCGCTATAGAAAAAGTAAAACACTTCAAGTGTTTTACTCAATATATGTGAGGGCTAAAAATGTGTAATTTCTGGAGTCAGCATAGTAATCTGAAGTCCAGATTTCCGCACGGAGAACATACAGAAGCCACAGGACTTCATAAAGGCATGAAACATACCTGTGTGCAAAGGCAGTCATGTGGGTACTTCGAAACCATCCTCAATGAGTACACATCAGAAGATAACTTGTAAATTTGATTCTTCTGAAAACTCTCAAAATTCTACACATGCAAAGCTCTGCACAGCAAAAGCTTCAAAGATGTTTAAGCACAGATGTCAAAAGCCACAGAAAAAATTATTTTCAAGAGGTACCTGAACAGAAGAAAAAACCTCCTTAAGTATTTAAAAAGGTTTCAGCCCCTAACATAAAAGTGTGTCTATCTGAAACGCACATAGGAAAAAAACTGTGCCAGAAAAGCAATCGACTGTGCTGGAACTACAATGCCATTTTTGGAAGCCATCTGGAGTAAACCCATCACATAAAGTGTACCAGCTACTCTACTAAAACATTTGCCCTTTGGCTCCAAACTGAGGAGCCTGTCAGCCTCGGAGCAGTTTGCCCAACTGAAGGTAATTACCTTGTTCTACCATCCTTTGCCCCACCTGCAGAAGTAATAGCTTCCAGATGATATTAAAATCTTACGAGACAAAAATCAGTTAATGGACAGAAGTTCAGTAAACCAAGGTCCCAGATAAGCCTTATGTTTCCACCAAAAAAAAAATGAGTCAGTTCATTCATTAACTCTTCATTAGACAGTTTACAACAGGTTAATGAATCGCACTGGTTGAGGGGGTGCAGTGTCAGTTTTATTTCGGTTTTTTAAATTTGCAGTCTTTTTTAAAGTTTCAGCTAAATAGGCAGCAGAGGACTTGCATTTTTTTGCAAGCACCATTTTTATATTTCTGCCTGCCAGATACTTCAGAAGAACTCTAAGTGAGAGTTTGCAATGATATACAAAAATCTCCATGAAATCCTTCTTCCTTTCCTATCAAATGTACAAAATACTGGTTTTATTTAAAAATAAGTATTTTGGACTCTCTCTGTCTTCCTCTTCACCAAGGCCTTTGCTACAAGTGACACCTGTGGAGAGAAGTATGTGTCCCAGGAGTACACTTATCTTTTTTATACAGTAAACATATTGCTCTTAGTGAAAGCCTGGCAGGTGTTTGTTACGTAAATGGATCCGCTCAGCCAAGTTTGACAATCTCTCTCTCTCCTCCTTCCCCTCAAATATTCAACTCTAACAACCTTTCTTCTCTTAACCTCTCCACCTGGGAGCCTTTCTGGGCATCATCTATAGGTAAGCACAGCTTGTGAAAAAATGACTGAAAAACACTGACGACCAGACAATCTTGCAAAACTCAATAGATTACTTGATCAAATTGTCCACTAGAACACCATCTTGGAAGAAGTTACATCGAAAGATAAACGGCATTTTTGAAAAAGCAGCAATGAAAAAGTAGGGCTAAGAGTAAGACAACAAAACGTGAACTCCCCATGGCTAAAACACACTGGTTAAAACACAGCAGCTATATAGGTCACGAAAATCTTGGGTAATTAAGCAAAGACATTCTGAGCAGAAGCAGGAAGGCAATATGTAACTCTTAATATGCACCTACCCTGGTAACCTATGCTGGGTCCAGCTTTGGAGTCTGAACTTATATTAAAAAACACGGTGAAAAAGAGAAATAGTTCAGTATCTAACTCTAGAAAGCCTGCCTCAATTCGACTTTCTTACTGTCTCATTTATATTTTGCTCATGCAAAAGCACAGTAAGAGGTGACCTGAACATTCTTTATAACACCTACACTGAGACATGGCAAAGAACATAGCATCTGGTATAGCAGAAGAAAATACAAAGAGATGCACTGTCTGGAAACCAAAGCTGGAGACCTCTAGGTTTAGAGGAGTAGAGGGACTGGATCCTTTCAGGTGCTGTCCTTCCGCAGCACTTCACCACACTGAACTTCTGCACCTCATTTGTTTGTATGTGGTCTTTTCTGCAAGAACTCTGGAGATGTAAGCAGTGCCAGCAATAACATCAAAAAAGCCCAAAACCCTACAAGAGATGGAAGGGATACTAAATAGTACAATATTTAAGTGTAATTTAATCAAGGGAAACAACCTTGAGTATACACATCAGGGGTGGGGAAATCACTACTAACAATGGCACAATTTTATAACCGGTCAATTGAACAAGTTTCAAAGTTCAGCAAGAATAGAGATTTGCAACGCTGTCGTAAAGACAGGCCTTTTGTAAAATAACTTAATCTTTTTTCCAGTGCCAACTGTATACCGGCTGAATTCATAGAAGAATTTGCTTTAGCATAAATGAAGAGTATTGTGTATAGACACAGATAATTCAGTGTAAAAACAGCAGGTTCTCATGCTTTCTGAATCTCTGTACGGAACACCGTATTTTAATTGCTCTTTTGTCAAAATGAACCAGAACTGGAACTTGCCTGTGTATTTCCATCTTCTGTAAGTCAACTTTTCTAGGTAAAAGTAGGTTTCGTATCACTATTTTCCAGCTCACCTCAAAACATCAGAATGCAATACAATATTTATAAGCATGTACTCAAGCTGTAATAAGCAGAGAAACAACTCCCCGCTCCGGCCGTTTTTTTCTAAACTCTTAATTTATATAAAATAATTTGTTGTATAGTTCCTTCAGGATGAGGATTTCAGGCAAGATACCCGTCCTTCTTACCGTAAAGTCCGGTGGAGTCTACCATGCATGTTCTAGGCTGCCTGCTGAGCCTCTCCTGAGCCAAGGACAGATGTGCTGGTCAGATGCCACCAGCTGCCCAACCGCCTTAAAAGATAGCCAGGTACAAATTTACTTCTTAACGTTAGCTTAAATAATACTTGTTTGTGACTGCGTAATTTTTCATGAAAGCAGCTGCTACCACTGTTAGTGTTTTGTAACGATGACTGGAAAAGGAAATCTTGAGTGTTGAAATTTGAGTGTCCTTTACAGAGCACCCTGCTTTCACTCCACAGATCGGTTCAGTTATCACCTTTGCAACACCACATACAGACCTTCACCAACCCAACACTTGCTCCTGTTCAAACTTCAAACAATTACAGAGCAATTTTTAAACACAAGTACAATCAATTGTTGGAAAGACAATCAGATTGTTGTAAACTGAAGACCAATTCGGTACGACATTTGGGGAATTTTATTAAAGAATAAAGCATAACTAGAATATGAAACAAGCATTCAAAGTCAGAGAGAAGAAATTAAAGTGCTTGCTTTAGAGTAAATTTGAAACATTTTTCAAAGGTGTAGGAATACAACAAATACATTTGTGTGTGGTTCTCTTTCTTTAATGAAGAACAAGTAAATTTGATGTCTTAAAAATGCATCTTAAACCTTGTTCACTATGGTTGATCTCAACATGACACATGTAAACTTTTTAAACCAGGAGACTATAATTACACTGGAAGAACAAAGGCTGAGGTAATTGCTGACTAGAAAAATTTGTTACAGAGTCACTTGACATCCCAGAAGTTTTCTCAATACTTGATATCATCTTGTTCAGGAGGCTACCAATTAAAAGACAAAATTTGAGGAGCAAAGGAAAACTCATGTCCATGTTTCTTTTAATTTTACTCAAATATAAAAGTGCAAGTTCTGTAAATTAACAACATTTACAGTACATCACAATAAATATGCCACTTTGTGACATCTAAAAATTCTAGTTATTTATTTGAAATGAGTCATATTGAGATAAAAACCTGCATCAACATCAACAAAAATACCTGACCCAGTAAAGATAGTCTTAACATATTAACTAGCAAGATGCATATTCCGTTATTGCTATTAGACTATGCCTCCAAGTTCCAAAGTATAAAAACTTATCAGTTTACACAAAATACAGTTGAATTTTTCTCATCACAGGCACAATCTAACATAAAAAATAATTTTGACATTTACAACGTAGGAGACTCTCCTACATAGGGAGGAAAAGAAAAATAATTAACACAGAAACAGATAGTTCTATTTCAGTGATGATTCGCTAAATCCACAGAAAAGTTGCAATTTGCACAGAGTTAAACTGTTACATGAATATATAGTGTCTTTCCATACCCACTCACAGCCTGGTGAGAACAACAGGCTTTTTAGTAAATTTACTACAATTTGCTAGCTATCTCCAAGTATGTAGACCCTAGATATCCCAACACAAATCACATGCAGGTGCTTTGTGTCCTGAACAGCCTAGTCTCACATTGTATTTAAGCAGTGTATTTAAAAGTAATTTTGTCAGTAACCGTACTGTACCGTTTCTAGCTATTTACCCAGAATGGACCATCTCTCTCTCTGCAAAACATTGTCAGATAGGACAAAATAAGATTTCAAGTACATTAAAGCTCATTTTTAAAATCATGATTTGAATTCTAAGTGGTCACTATATATACAATATACTATTTTCCAGTCAATACTTCTCTGGATTGACTGAATAAAATTGAATGCTCATTTGTGACTCAGTATTACTGTTAAATTGAATTTAAAAAAAAACCAAACCAAACACTGTACTATCTGTAACACACCTAGATTATAGAAAAATAAAACTGCTTTTTTAAGAGTTAAGCATCTCTCCTCTCCTTCAGGAACAGCAACAAAAGTGTTTAACTGCTCTAGGGATGCCTTTTATAGCAGGAATAGTGCAGAGAAATAAAAGTGTCTCAACTGTTTCATTTGGCCTACCAAATAGGATATTACTTTTCTCGTCCACACCAATCTTGCTTTAGATGCAACCTCAAAAGCAAATCAATGAAGGTTGGGTGTGGGCAAGGTCTAAAGCTTTGGCAACATATTCTACAACAAGTTAAGAAAAAAAAGTTTAAGCTAAGGAACTGTTTAAGGCAAACTGACCAAAGTAAAGATAAGGCTTTTGGACAACTATTTCCAAGGATATCCAGTTTTCTTAGCTTTACAAAGTAACATAATTAAACTAACTTTCTGGTCAGATTTCCATTCATAAGCTTCTTAAAAAAAATATCTTCCTAGAATATAATACTAACTGAACATAAAACTTAAGGAGACACTACATATTACAGACACAAGTAAAAAAAAGCCACAGATGAGCACACAGATGGCCAAGTATTAAAAAGTATATGGTCATGATAAAAGTTTAAAGCTCTCTGAGGTATTTCAGCATCTTAACACCACAGGTCTGGAATACCATACAGAGACTTAGAATATCATAGTATTGGTATAACTATCAAAATAGATTTTTGGGTTTCGGTTTTTGTTTGTTCTTTTAATAGCTTTGAAGGTCACTGCTATACATATTCAGCAACTCGAATGAAAAACATGTAAAATTACTGTATCTGGCCTATGTATTTTAACATAATATTCAGAATATTAAGAGTAGAAATAAAAACTGCCCACACTGTAACTGCACGTCAGACAAATTAAGTATTTGGCTGGAATGTACCAGAAGCAGAGATCCTAAACATTGACATAATTTACATCACGAGTATGAGCTGGGTTGGGAGGGAAGGAATGAAGAATGGAAGGGGATATGAGGCTTAAAATTCACACATTAATCATCATGAAGTTACTGACATAAGCCATTAAAATTCAATAAGATTTCCTTTTGGAAAACGGAACAGTTCTCCTCCTCCTGTGTATTGGCTAATGTTTAAAGGAAAAAAAAAAGTGTTCTGCCCATTCCCAACTTCAGCATTTACACCAATTACTTTTATTGTATTATTCTAATCAAAACAGAAGCGCTCCTCTTGGCATATTTTAGATCTAGATCTATTTTAAAAGGTAAAACCAACATCTACCAATATTGTTGAAGTAAATCATGTGTGCTTATTTAGGCTCACCCACAGAGTTACAAGTAATTGTGTTCAGTTTGGTGTAAACAAAATAAAAACTGAAGAGTTAAAAACGCAAGGTCACTTTACCTTCCTCCTGGTTGATTTCTTTTAGTTAAAATTGTAAAGTTTTACTAAGCCATACCAACTCTGACCATACTAGGAAAGTGTCTCTGGCACAAGTGGTTTTCAGAAGAAAAGCTGGTCTTCCCAACAGCTTTTTCTTCTGCTTCATCTTAAAGTGCAGAAACTGTGGGAAAGGATAACAAGACTTCCTGTCCGTCACTGTGGAACTACTTCCCTTAGCGAGGCTAAGGCTGCGTGTATGCGGACGTGCAATCTGTTCTCAAAGTCATAACCAGTAAATTCCTCCTGGGGTGGGGAAAAAAAAAAACATGTAACTATTAGCTAGTTAGTATTACTACTAATGCTTAAGAAGTCATGTTACAAAACAGATCAAAAAAAAAGATGTGAACAGGAGATGGTATGCTGCAGTATCTCTGCATTAACCAAAGCAAAAGAATTATTACAGAAATTGGTGAAGAGAGCAGAAAGCTTCCATTTCCAACACGCTGTTTGGATCCTTTGTAATTGAACAGCATCTGGAAAGTTCTGCAAGTCCAAAAGCTCTAGAAAATCCCAACATGCCCAAGGCAGGAACCAGCTGGAACAAACAAGGAGCAGCGAGCTGTCATTTTCAAACTTTCTGTAGCCAAATCTTAGCTGAAAAACTTGGCAAGGTTCTAACACTCCAGGAGAGGTCACTAATGTGGGCTCCGTGCTATAACTGACCTAGAAATACATATCTACGTAACACATAAATGTGTCTCACATACATTAATGTGTATCTACATGATAGCGTTGCAGATCATAGGTGAGGGATATCAACACTTAACATCCACTCCCCCTGCCCCAAACCCCCAAAACAACAACCTCTCAAATGTCATCATCACAGAAAGATAAATTTGGAAGTGTCTTAGTTTTTACCTTGGCTTGGAGAAGTAAAGTTTTGCCTCTTGGCACAGTCTACAAAAAGACAAACATTGCATTAGGAACGCATTGCAAACGTTACAGAAAACGTGTGAAGTATACGGCCTGGTCTGCCCAGAATAGTATTGCTATCTTAAAAACAAGGTACCACGCAGACAAAACTCTCCCAAATTAGGAAACTAGAAATACTAATGAGGCAACCAAAAACCATAGTATTACGTATTTCTAGTCTTCTACAGAAAAGGAGAAATTACAGCTTTAAATGCAAGTTGGTACTGATGATGGTGAGCAACAACAACACACACAGAAACAAACAAGGCTAAAAGTAAATGATCAACAGGGCAATTTTTGTTTCCTAACCAAAGTTTACACCATTTATTTACAAATCAAGTTGCTGGATTTTAAGTATTAGAAGTTGTTTCAGAAATCTCAATTTCAAACTCTTAAGGAAAAATATATGTATTTGCAGATTAACATTTACTACTGAAAAGCTCGTGTTTTATTTCTTATTATATAGTACATCTTTTTTTTAAGCCTTACAAATAAATAATCAATTGCCTGATAAGAGACAGAAAAATTAAGTCGTCTTATTCAAATATATCTGAATATGAACATATGTTTTATATTGATTAAATTACATTTAGTGACTAAGACAAAAAAAAAAAAAAAAAAAATCAGTAAACTTCCTGACATAACCATATTAAAATCGTGAAGAACTTGATTAGAACTAAGTTTAAAATAAAGATTATTCAGATGACATGGTAGATCGAACATGTAATTATGAGTAATTTTAATGCACAGTAAATCTAGTCACAGCATGCTTTTTATAACAAAATGTATATTCATATCTGTATCTGTTGCTCAGGTCTTTGACACGCTCAGCCTCTCAGGTAAGTGTGATTTATAAAATCCGATTCCCTTCTCTTTCTTAACCATTATAGAGTTCTCACATGACATCTCAGCTAGTAAACGGAATTTTCTACAAACACCATCTACCCACCTCTAATTCTAGCTCTTGCATTTCCCCACTCCATCCCACTTTATTCAAGTCAAGCATCATTTGCCTCCTCATTGTCTGAGTGCAACGAGAGGGAGTTCCCTGCATGTCCTTCACGTACTAAGTAAGCAAGGCTTGTTCAGTCCTCAAACACCCAACGTGAAACATGTTTGGTTACTGTCTGCACATACGACATGTAAAGCAGGAGTAAGGAAGAAGTGCTCCCATGCTATAAATTTTTTATTTTTTTTTTTTAGAGATACTCAACATGATCATATTTAAATATAAACATGGAAAAAAGGCAGCAGGAACATTACTGGACTCAGACCTCCCTATCAGGCTTCAAGGCCCAGTTCCAAGGCATAGGGCAGCAGCATTTCTAAAAAGAACAATTATTTTTAAAAGCATTTTCTAGTTTTGTCCTTTGTCATGATAATCATTTTTACTGAAAGTTTTTCCTTTCCTTCTCTCTTCACGGGGAAGGTTCAGCTCAGATGATTAAACCTGATAAGATTGAAAACAACTGAAAACAGAATCTGAAAGCCAGGCAGACAATTTTCCTCTTCATCCTAAACAACAAAAACCTCACTACTCAGGGTGAAAGCCAAAACGCCAACACGTACAGCTTTAACGGAATTTAAATGACTGAAATCACTTTACTTATACATCCCTTGCAATGAAACAGTACAACGGTATGCGTGCTCTCAGTCCAGCTAGGCTTCCAAGACACACTGATGTGCAAGATTAGGAAGATATCTGTTCTAAAAGCCACCATAAATAATCCCAAAGTAAAAAGACTTGACAAATACCATGTTGTTCCGAATATAAGTTTGATTCCAAAAACACAGAGCTATTTTAGGAAGGCACCAAATTCTATTTGGAGAGGATAACTACAGGTAATCTTTGAACTTGAACAACATCCAACAGGAAATTAAACGCGTAAGAAAAGGATCCTAGGCATCCACCGCACTAAGTGTCACCCACAGACAACAAATCCTGCCTACCCAAGGCACTGCTGCCAGGCCTCTGCTGCCACCAGCAGCAGGAACACTAAGGCAAGTGAAGTGGGGGAGTGGTCTTTGCATCTTGAGGGGTGACAGACGCATTTCCATACCCCAGTATTTATATACACCGTTTCTGCAAGGCATATACGAAAAAAAAAAAAATGGGCATCATGGCACGATCAGAGAGATGAAAAGAGAAGTCTTTGTGGCGCTTTTTGGGGTAAAGTTCTAAACAATAAACAAAACAATGTGGTGCAACACTCATCAAAATTTTTGCTTTACTGCTTCCTGTAGGTTTGCAGATTGATTGTTTTATTGCTAGAGAACGACCGCGCTAATGGTCAGGAATGTAACAGCTGCCCTGAAGAATCCCTGAGAGTCTTGGGCTCTGTTTTTAAAGTAAAAATAAACTCCAGTAACAACAAAACAAGTCATTGCAGTGTTATCAACAGATAACTCAGCTCCTCAGGCTGTCCTTATAGCTCTTGATATTGAAAAATTAAAATATTGTTACCTAAAACACAATGCATTTCTTGGTTTGAAAAATAAATAAATAAATAAATAAATAAATATCAAACAAAGTTTCTTTACGGTAGGTATAAAACAAATTTTTTAAACTTAACATACATTATCACCGATGAACTTTGTTTCATTGTTCATATAGTGGTATGCTGACTCCTCACCCTAATTTTAAGAGTTTAAAAACAGGTTACGCTATTACCTCTGGATTGTCTAACAGAAGACAGCCAAGTTCATAGCAAGCATATGGCTGGACATATAAGTTGTTCTGACGGCACTGTTCATCTTTAGCAGCTCGCTGAAAAAACTATAAAAATTAAAATAAAATAAAAAAAAGAAAAAAGATTGCAGTAATACATTAAAATTGACTGTTTGATACTTTAAACAAATCCAGAAGTACTGTTCAACTCTAAGCATTAGAAATTAGCCCAAAGCTAAAATAAGAATATATAAAAAATTTCCAATGGTAGAGATTTTTTTAACCAAAGACCCAGAGATTTTCACTGACACCACTGTATCAAGGCAAAACTATTTCTTTGGAGTTTTACCAAGTAATATATTGACTGTTTCAAGAGTTTTCCAACTTCATGTTGAAAAAAAAATATTAGATCTAACAAGGAACTTCAACATCAGAAATTAAATACCTGGATTATTTAAGATAAGCTTGAGAGAAGCAGGGAAAAAAAAAAATTAAAGCCAGCATCAGCTCCCTTGTTGCTTATGTGAATAGAATTCTATTTTGAGGAGAAAAAAAAAAGTTATGCCTACAAATGAAAGCCCGGAGCAGTGGCGAAATTATTCTTTGGCATGTGCTAATAATCACACCTCTCAGTGTCTAACAGGTCTGGAGTGGATGAAGCAGAATTCATGCTTTTGAAAGGTCAAACTCCAAGTTTTTTTGTTGGATTTTCTTTTTTTGCTTTGGTGTTTTGTGGGTTTTTTTGGTTGTTGTTTTTTGTGTGTTTTTTTTTTTAAAGTTGAATTTTCTGTGTTGGACAAAGTAAATCCAACACAGCCAAGAACTTTTCCATTCTTCTTCCCAGCCTCCCCTTAACTCTTGCTCCTACAAGCCATTTAAACTACCACGTAAAAGTAACTATGTTAACTGACTAGATGACCTTTGAAGGTCCCTTCCAGCCCTAACCATTCTATGATTCTACGTTCAATGAACAACACAGAATATAATGAAGACATGCTACAAAAAATCTGAAAGGAACCTGACATACTCTGTTGGAATCCACAAAACAGTATGATCAACAACACTGAAAACTAATGGCTTGCTTAACACTCTCACTGAACGATATTTACTGTTTAACAGAATAGCTCATAAAATAGGATTAATGATGGAAAGTATCATTTAACAACTTACCTGAACAGCATCTTCAGAATTTCCTAAGCATTTGTGTATGGCACCAAGAAGCAAATTCCTCAAACCAACAGCCGATGAATCATCAACATCCTGACAAGCTTAATGAAAAGATTCTAGTAAACAAACAAGATGGATTGAAATCCTTCCTTAGACAAGAATTGTGGTCTACGGTGACTTTTAGCCTGATGATTAAATGTAATCAGAAAAAGAAGATGCTAGTAACATTAATATAAATCAAGGTAATTTGGTTTCTTTTAAATACAACCCATTTTGGATGAACCTCATCAAGCTATCTGTCACTCAGGAGAACAATTCTTAACGGGAACAAATGAGTTTAAGTCAAAGGCAGTTGGTGTGTTCTCACAAGAGGAGGAGAATCCGTTTCTCTTCTAGTCTTTGAAATATTCACTAAAAGGTAAAGTTAAGAGATGATCACCACCTCCTGGTGTCACGGGAACATACTGATACCGAAAGAAAAATACTTAGTCCAAGCTACAAAGAGCACAGGGCAAGCAGTTCACCCAAAGCTCATTTGTACTGAGCTGAAGCCAAGTGACAGACGCACAAAAATCTGTACTGGACTTAAAAACTCAGACTACGGTATTTTGGCATCACAATTCTCAGTGCTGATGAGAGGATAAGGCTTATTTGCCAGACCTTAGCTAGTCCACAATCCAAGGACAGACTGTGCCTCTGCTTCCAGAAAGAACTGAATCATGATGCGCATAACCGTCTCCAGATGAATCGGGTTCCACTTTGATCAAGCTTGTTAGCGACAGCTCTTTCATTAAGGCTAGTTCCATAAGGAGCCATTTGCACTTGTCTGCACCGTCACCTCCAGAAAGGCTGAGATACAGGCAGGCCTGCAGGGCTTTTTATCCCTTCAGAAGGAGCTGAACTGCTGTCCCTGGAGCAGCAAGAGCTCCTTAAACTTCACATTTTGTCTCATCTCATAAACCCTGCCAGATCTTAACTAGCTGTGCATTCACAACACAGTTAATTCACAACCCAAATAAACCACCTATGAATAAGTAAGAGTTGGCTCCATGACGTATTTGGACACCACACAATACACAAGGCTGTCAACTCTTGCTTGTATTGCAAGTCTCAAGTTACTTGGCATTTTAGAGATATATGTGGACACAAATTAATTCCTTTATTTTAAATCAACTTCTAGCCCTGAGGAAAAGCCTGGAAACTCGCCAGAGCAAATTACACTCCAATTATTCAAGAGAAGAGGAAACAAATAAAAAAAAAAATAAATCCCCTATCATCTCATCATTCTTGAGATATGCATAAGGTGCAGCAATAACATTTCCACTGTGCAGAAAATCTTCAACCAGATACCGCTGATGCAGACACATCTGTCAGTGTCATACCCTAAAAGAAGCATATCTCTGAATTTTAATCTATACTGCGCTTTCACATTAAAAGTGCACCACTGGCCAGAAGCTTATACAAGGAAGATCTACACTGCTTCTGAGTGTGCAGGAGAGAAGTACATACTCTTTCAAACCTCTAAAACTGATTGTTCTGAAGCCAAATGACAGCCAAAAAATCCTGGAATTTGAGTACTTCATTCAGCTCTGGAGTCCCCAACTCAAGAAGGACACAGAGCTGTTGGAGCGGGTCCAGAGGAGGGCCACGAAGATGGTCAGAGGGCTGAAGCGCCTCTCCTATAAGGAAAGGCTGAGAGAGTTGGGGCTGTTCAGCCTGGAGAAGAGAAGGCTCCGGGGTGATCTTATTGCAGCCTTTCAGTACTTAAAGGGAGCCTACAAGAAAGCTGGAGAGGGACTTTTTACAAGGGTATATAATGATAAGACAAGGGGCAATGGCTTTAAACCGAAAGAGGACGGATTATAGATTAGATATAAGGAAGAAGTTTTTTACAATAAGGGTGCCAAAACACTGGAACAGGTTGCCCAAAGGAGTTGTAGATGCCCCATCCCTTGAAGTGTTCACAGCCAGGTTGGATGAGGCTTTGAGCAATCTGGTGTAGTGGAAGGTGCCCCAGCCTGTGGCTGGGGGCTTGGAACTAGATCATCTTTAAGGTCCCTTCCAACCCAAACCATTCTATGACTTTTACGTAAGTAAACCTAATTTTAAAGCCTTCACCGCTGCCTTTGGGACTAGAAAACTAGGGATCCAAACGTAACCCAATGCCATCACACAATTTAAATGGATAATTTATCTCAATTTAAAAACAGAGTAAAACCCCAACCAGTTCTGACTCTCGACTTAAGTGAGACAACTACCAGCCTTTAACATAAAAATCATGTACAATCCCTGAAAGTTCACAATTACATAAAAAAGGAAAGTATCTCTGTGGCAGACATTTTTTGTTTTATTTTCTAAATGAGCAGGTAACTTGAAACTGTTTGCAGAATGCAAACAAGACTGATTGCCGGATGAAGGGAGGAGTACTGAGAACATCATGATAAACACTGCTATTATACGCTTCATGTGACAGACATTCAGAGACTTAGAAAAAAAAAGGGGCAACCATAAAACGCTCCTTTGACCACTAAGATGGTCCCAGCAGCCAAGATAAACAGAACCCTTATGTCGTAGCTGACCTCACAAGTTACATAGTTCCTCTTAGAAGAAAACTGACATGCAGAAATCAATTGGAAGGTTTGGTTTTTATCTTGCAGCTAGGTTGAAATTAGTTGAATTTTGCTTTGTGACTTCAAACAATAACTACGGCACTCGTTTCATTTTAAACAATGGGCAAACACAACTGATTAAAATAACAACTATATGCAGTGAGGCAGTTAAACTTCTCCCAAAAACCTATAAAAATGGTAAAAATTAAGCACTAAGTTGAATCTTAATGGGTCATTATTCTATTATTATTCAAACTGTTTTGCTATCACACATGCACACAGGTTTCAATTCTCATGCTACAACAATCAGCTACTCCACACAACAGAAGAAAATTATACACCTAATTTAATAAAGTAAATAAATAAATCAAGGAACTGTATTATACCTTGGCTCATATGCTGTAAGTTCGAGAGGGAACAGTTTGGAAGGGCTTTCCATAAGTACAATACTTCAATGGATGCCAGGACACAGAGCTCTTTGGTCGGCATTTGTTTTCTAAATCTATCTGCCTGCAAAGTGGGGAGAAATAGAGAAGGGTGATTTATCATCTGTCTGCTTACAAGGAACATAAATATTCACAAACAATATATCACAAACAGTAATTTTAACTGTTTCCTGAAAGCATCCAACAATTTTATAAAAATAAAGTTGGTGGTAACTTAGCTTAAAGGATTTAAGACTAAAAAGCAAAATCTTTCAATTAATTTAAGGGTTTACATATTGATTAAAAGTAAAGTTTTCTTGTATGCAGCCTAGATTTGTTTTACAGTATTTCACAAACTCAAGTACACACTGACTGGATGCTGAAAGGGTAGCATCTGCAATATTAGCAGTTGGGACATATTTCCTGGACAACTCAGAGCTTTTAAGAAGAACCAAGGCTTTGACAAACAATACAAGATAAAAAGAAGTAATAAAGGCAAAGCTAGATGGAAAATTACCAAAGCAACTACAGTATCCTGTATTTTTATCTTTAATAATTACTTTAGTTGTAAAGAGAATAGCTTTCATTTCAAACCTGGCATTTCTTTTGCCAGGTTTGTTCTTCCACCTGAATCCTTCCCACTAATTCTACAGAAACAACATAGGAGAAAACAGACATGTCCTTCAAAAATAAATACTGATAAAGAATCCAACAGAACTACCAAGTGTAATTACTGGACTGAAACAAGTCAGCCTATGCTAAACCAAACCTTTTTCACTGAAAATTGTTCAATCTGATTGTTTTTCCTTTTGAAAAGCTTCTGAACTTCCTTGAACACATTCTGAGCACCACTGACATCACCAGTGGCTCCTTGACACACTGTAAGAACACAGAAGCAAGAATGTGTTAACACTACAGGGATATGAAACAGGGGAAAAATAAGATTAGATATCATACAATCATAGGTAAAAAGACACTCACTTCCAGAAAGGATCTACACTGGGGATTTGACAAACATGCAAATCTCAACTCTCCCGGGAACCCTCTATGATCATTAACAAGTCAGTACTTGTTTTTCATACCCATTGAGGAACTAGTATCACCCAGCCTTTAAGGATTTATTTATTAAATCTTTGCAATACACTGTTATATGACCTGACATTACACTAACAACCATAATTGTATCTATATTGGGGGGGGGGGTTAGTACTTATGCACATGAATGTGGATGCATGCAAGTGTACATTATATAAACAAAAATAATTATTTAAATCAAGTCTGGCATAAAGTTGCATAAGCAGCAGGCAGTATGGAAGGCATTATGTGCACCAGTAAGTTTCCCAAAACAAAACAGTGCCAAAATCTTATCACATCACAGATTTATCGTTTATCCAACACATTGAATATACTCACCTGCTGTTAAATAAGCATAGTAGCACTGAGACCACCTGGACTCATTCTTAAGCCTTTCAAAGGACTCAAACGCATCTTTGAAATTCATCTCTATCATACTGCACCAACCTAAAACCAAGACTAATTAAACTTCAGAGAAAGCACAGTAATTCAAATTTGGTGCCAACATTACTGAAACACATAGCTTGTTATGAGAGCTGGAGCTAGTTTAACAGTTACAACGATATCTGGATAAGCTAAAAACAAAACAAATCGGTGACATACACCTAAACTCTGTTTTAAATTTACCAAGAAATCTTAAATTTTAAGATTCCATACAAAACTATGAATCCACTTCAGAATCTACACAGAAAGCGCTCTTTTTATTCATGTAAATACTGTATCTTGTAGGATGCTGAAACTTAAAAAGGTACTACTCTTCTTTTCTCTTCCCCACTGTGACAAGATCCCTTAAAGCGACACATTTAAAGCTTAGAGTAATGTATCTTCTCCACTTTAAAGATCTGTATGCAAATGAAGAACATATAGTGTATTTTGCTGTTGATAGAAGGAAATGAACACAAAATATAGGTCCTGCAAACTGTGAAGTTTCACTAGACCAATAAGTTTTTGGCACAGAAATGGTGATTCCACAGACAAATGAGAATAATTAATTTCTCTTTTTTAATAATATTCTGCATGTGAACAGTTTGGTCTTGATTCTATAGTCTACTCTCTGATTTTGCATCACCTTGTATTTACAGAAAACTTTAAAATTATGAAAAACTGTTGAATTCTACTTGCCTAAACAAGAACACAGGATTATTACCACATTTCATCCAAGACAAAGGGTAGTATTCTAAAACCTTTTTTAAAATCCTGATAAAAATAATCCAGTTTGTTCACTGAAGTCGCTAGTCTAAACTTGAAAGTGAGCTATTTATAGTATAAACATATCCAACTTACCTATTTCATATAAGCAGACATGTTGAATCTCCCTTTGGTCTGTTGCAAGTTCCAAAGCGGTATGAAATGAGGTCAAGGCACTATTGATCTGACACTAACAAAAGTGAAAGAAGAAAAAAAAATATTCAGATGTCTGAAATTTAAAATTTGTTGAATAATTTGATTTTGATAAAGAAAACATTCAGATTTCTGTTAACAGGTATTTAAAAATAGCTACACGGTTAAAAAAGTAATTGAAGCGTCTTACAGATTACGGCCTTTGGTTTGATTAGATGAAAGCGGCATAATGTCCCATTGAAAGGAAATCTCTAAGCTCATTTCAGATTCTAGATTATTTTAAATGAGCTAAAACCCACCATAGAGCTAACAATTCGAAGGAGAAGAGCTAGTATTAGTTCAATATACCAGCTCCACACTGCAATTCCTTCGGACAGATTCCCTCCTCCTAGCTCTCTCGACCTGATCACATTTGAATGGAAGTTTGGGCAAATTATGACAAAGCCTTTACTTACAATGATAAATGAGTATCTTAAAGAAGTCCCGTAGTGAAGAGATTTTTTACGTACTTCATATTCATGATATGAAACATAACACAAAAGTCACATTATAAGAGACAAGGGAAATAAGAATCACTAATACAAAGCAAGCCAGATTTATATTTAAATGAAGCTTTAGACAAGAATGCAATGCGCTCACTTGCAAGGTACTAACAATCAGCTCCACCATGTGCAAGGGTACAAATTAAAACACACGGGAAGGAACTTGCACTCAAAGTCATATAAAATGAGAAAGGTAGAACACTATGGAGTTAAAAAAGAGGATGGGGGATAGAAAAGGAGTTTAAGAATGTAATAATGATCACCAATAACTTACAGCCAGTTCAGATCATCTCTCAACCTTAAAAAAAAAAAATCAGTGGCTATATTCCTTCTATTTGCTATTAAGTCCAAAATTCATTGGTTTTGTGCAGTGCTTTTGCATAATCTCAGTTCTACTCTTATTAGTCATTCTACCTTTAAAAGTCATATTTTTAGTATCTGCCTATAAAGTTCAGCTCTGTGCAATAAGAGCATCTTTAAATTTTATTTATTTTGAATTATTTCACCTTTTTCCACATCCCTTAGTAACCGCTTTAAGCAAGTTAATAGACATTCATAAATGCTGCACGACATGTAGGAAGATAAAAAGACATACAAGAGAAAAAAACATTTGGATAAAATAATTAGTTACTAACAGCTTAGCAAAAAGAGGCTGACAGTTTTGTAAGAACTAGAACGATAGTTCTTTTGAATACCTTAATTTCTAGTTTTCCCAGTCTATAATGGGACTTCTCCGTAACGACTATCATAAAGGGGGGGGGGATGCAAATCAACATTTAATTAGTTTTATACACAGATACACTATATATCCCAATTTGGCCTATACTCACTTTAATAGTGTTTCCATATTTATTCTCACATACAATTATAATAATTTATACAACAGAGGATCTACCTTAATTTCTAGTTTTCCCAGTCTATAATGGGACTTCTCCGTAACGACTATCATAAAGGGGGGGGGGATGCAAATCAACATTTAATTAGTTTTATACACAGATACACTATATATCCCAATTTGGCCTATACTCACTTTAATAGTGTTTCCATATTTATTCTCACATACATTTATAATAATTTATACAACAGAGGATCTTAAAGCCACTCTTGAAGAGTGGCTGGCTAAGTGTGCAAGTGAAAGAAACCCTTGAAAAACCTAACCTGTCATGCTATTCCAGTATAACTGAATTCAAAAATTCCTCTAAAAATTTGTAGTGTTTTATCTTAAGACCACACACGCAGAACTCTAAAGTGATTTTATTAGTGATTTTCTTTATTTCTTCTTTGTCTCATCAGGAAAAAACATTTTAGCTGCTAAGGAACAATTTAACCATAAATCATATATATTACACAAAGACAGCACAACTGCCCAACTGATCCACAGCTGTACCAATATAAGCACTGTACACTTAGAAAATAAAACAATGATTAGACTAAGATGCTTGTTGATGTAACAGAAGAATATACTACACAAAGACGGGTGAGTTATATTTGCCCCCAAAGTTACCAGGAAGCCTGAACAACGTACAACTTGTTTACTTCTGTAGCAGCACATTCTCTCCACTAAATATTACTCTACTGATGCCACATCAATACTCAACACGACTTCCTTGAAAATAAGTGTTATGAGCCCAGTCTTATAGAAAAAAATAAAATAATGTCAGCTTAAAAATTTATCTTTGTGCTAATAAGTTTAGAAGTTCAGTAAATCTATGTTTTGAATGCTTCTGAGAAAGTGAAGTATCCTTCACATCCTCTGTAAAGATACTTTGCTTTCTAAAAACCCCACAAGTTTGAATATATAAATCACTTATTTGTAGGGCATGTTATTCCACACAATGACTAACAGCAATAACATCATTGTCTGCAGTGCCATACACCAGCCTGGGGCAGCACATCAAATACTGACCACCTAGTAATATACAGGTGCAGTCAGTTGAATATTCAATCTTCTATAATCTATTTCTCTAACTGTCTAGATCTCTCAAGTGTTTTGACATCTGCCTAAATTTTCCTTAAGTATCAAGCTCAGTAAGCATCTTGCAGAAATATTCCTTAATAATTGAAGTTTCAATCACCTCCAGGGATTGCAACAATATGCTGAAACATGAATTTCTACTCTTAGTGTTAATTCTTAAAATAAATTAATTACTATCCATTTACTGTTTCAGAAAATAAGCAGAAAGAATTACAAAGTCCCAAGAGTCTGCAAGTATAACATCATGGCTTGCACTTGAAACCAATGTTGTTGAGATTTAAAAAAATAAAAATATATATACACACACACTTGTAATTCCTTCAACAGACATCACTCATGCCTCTTGGATATAATACAAAGGCAAAAAAAGATTAATATATAGAACTACATAATCACAAAGGGGATTATTAAAGCTATTGTGAGAACCATAACCTTACATTTCTTGAATTCAGATTAAAACCCGTAACACCTCAACCCACCAACTAAGCATCTCCAGAGCTTACCAAACCAAGGCAGCTTCCCAAGTAAACACTCGTTTCTCCTTAGAGTTGTTCGGAAGTCTCAGGACACTTTCCCTCTCATGACCTCTCTATTCTCAATCAGTACCATGAATTTGTAATGCTTTTAAGAAGTCATGCTCATAATTAAGGGGAAAATTTACACTGGAGGACACTATATGGAAATTCTAAAGCCTGTATCTCCTACTCCTCAACCACCCTGCCACTTTTCCCAAGACAAGCCAAAAAAAATAGAGTAAAACTAGGATTCTGTATTTTATAGCCTAGCACAAATAACTGAAAATAAACCTCATAGATTTCATAGATTTCATAGATTTCTAGGTTGGAAAAGACCTTAGAGATCATCGAGTCCAACCATCCCTAATCCCCATTAAACCATATCCTCAAGTAGCTCATCCACCCTATTCTTAAACACATCCAGGGATGGGGACTCAACCACCTCCCTGGGCAGCTTATTCCAGTGGCTGACAACCCTTTCAGAGAAGAAATACTTCCTAACATCCAACCTGAATCTCCCCTGACTAAGCTTATGCCCATTTCCTCTTGTTCTATCACCCATCACTAATGTAAAGAGCCCTTCCCCTAACTCCCCACCATCTTTTCTCAAGTATTTATAGGCCGTAATCAGGTCTCCCCTCAGCCTCCTCTTCTCCAGGCTAAACAGCCCCAACTCCCTCAGCCGCTCCTCATAAGTTTTATTTTCCAGCCCCTTGACCAGTTTAGTTGCCCTTCTTTGGACTCGCTCCAGGAGCTCAATATCTCTCTTAAAGCGAGGGGCCCAAAACTGGACACAATATTCCAGGTGCGGCCTCACCAGTGCCGAGTACAGGGGCATAACCTCAACGTTACGCAAACTCGCCTAGCACAAATAACTGAAAATAAACCTCAACGTTATGCAAACTCTGAAAATTTCTTAAGACATCATTGTGACTTTATTCCAGAATATTCATTGAAGACTTCTCAATGCTTATTATTACTCTTGACCCCAGTCTACTTTTCCATGCCACACGCTCCCGTGCCTTAATAAAAATGATACCACTGATCCCAAGATGTCTACAAAAGGTAACTAAAAGAGCAAGTGTACTTGTCAGCATTGCATTTAAGCCCACAATACCACTGTGCATTTTCACCAGCCTGCACATCAAACACACTGTAGCACATCTGAATGTACCACTGGTGTTTTGCCCATCGGCTGCAGTATTTGGTTCTTTTTCCTTCAGTCTCTTAACGTGCACCTATACCAACTGAACTCTACATATCAAAGCCTCAGAACCTGAGTTTTCTGTCAGAGCCCCAGACATTTTTTGTTGTTTATATATACGCATCCAGAGTCTGTTCCCAAAAAGAAGCCATCTTGCCCAGTTCACAATTTTGTCAAACACTTTATTTTTCCTTTATACCCTTACCCTTCTCCACATGAAGCTATGCATCTATTAAACTATTTCTGAGTAGGGTGATTTGTACTATTTAAAATAAAAGCAGATGGAGAGTTTAAAAAAGTGTTGCCGATTAGGGGGGTGTGGGGAGGTAAAGCAAAATTGCAAACTAAAAAGCAGAAATAAGTAAGATTCAGAACACCACCTTTTTACTCTGCCCTCTCCCATGCTACCACCATGCCCATCTTTCACTACCGGTCACAATACCACACTTGAATAGTCCAAGCCACAGTTTCAAAAGTAAATTGATATTTATTAACATAATTATAATATTAGACAATAATGGATGGCAGTATTTTTATTTTCACAGTAATAAAAAGGCCCAAGTGTACAGCTGGAAACTCTGGATTTCAGACCAGTGGGTTTCAACAGCTATTATACTAATCACATTTTTAAGTACCCTTTAGGCATAAGTACAAAACATTATTGTTGCTTGTTTTTAGTAGCTTAAGCTTACGTGAAACACCATCCTCAGCTTCAGTGGAAAGTATTTCAAAGATAGAAATAGTCAGACATGCACAAATAAATACTTGTGAGACTGGAATACCTACCATACAATCACAAGCCAACACAGCAATAGTTACATCCATAAAAAACTGCCTAAATGAATTACACAGAAGTCAGGAAAAATGCTTTTTTTTAATATGCAGTCTCTTAACCTACTCTCTGAAAAGAGTCATTTGATCAGCCTACCAGTGCAACCTTTAACTTTCTAGTGCACTTTCATGCCAGCTTTCCCAGATCCTCCTCCTCCTCTCCTTTCTCTTATTTCACTCATCTCAACAGTCTCCACTTTCAGACTTCATTTTAACATTTTTAACTGCACTTACATTTGTTGTGCAGCTATTCCTAACAAATTTGATTTTTACCAGAAGAATGGAATATGCATATAACTGAACAAAGACCATTGAAATCTTTCCCACTCGGAACCAACAGCAATACTTCCCAAAGACTGACAGCTTGCCTGTGACAGTGTAATTTCCAAATGAACTGTTGCTTTCAGAAAGACAGGAAAAGAAAAACATCCAAATCCCATGCAAGAATATGCTTGCAAAATCTGATAGGTCACTGAAGCCTGCCCCTCTGTTCTGTTACTTTTACTACCTCCCTCAAAATATTAAGCTGTATTTGAGAGAGTTAACTGCAAACCCTAGCAAGGAATGACCATCAATACCAAGATCTGGACTAGCTCTTGTAATTACAACTTTGAGATGAAGGGTTTGAACAGTCTGAGTTTGTGCTTTTGTGTTAGGTTTTCTTGTTAATGTAATTGCTCCAGAAATATTCTTGCCTGACAAAAGCAGGAGGCAAAGAGTTGAGTGATTTACTGTACTCACCACCATCTTGTATTATCACAGATTCTTAAAGAATAACTCAGCCAAAAACCATGAGGCTGCTGCAGTGTTTGAATAACACTGCAACAGCATTCAGAAACACATTTTCAGTGAATATATTTCTGCTTGGGTCAGAGCTCACCCTTAGCAACAGAAAACATCCTGGTTTGACCTCTTAAAAGCAAAAGCAGTTATTTGAAGGAAATTATTGCAGAGAATTAGCTGCATATGAACAATGCATAAAATGAAAAGGGGAAGGGAAATGCTATGTACTCAGCAGATAATACTCAGATTTTAGCTTGAGAAGCAAAATTGAAATAGCTATTTATAACACAAGAAACTCATGAGTGACCGAAAGCACTTCCTTTTAGCATAGAGCTACAAATGTATAAAGTAGCTGAAAAAGAATTTCGAAGTGCCATTAATTCAGATAAAAGTAGTGGAAGAGAAGGTTTGGCACATGAACTTAAAACTTGGAAGGAGTTAATCCTTTCTTTATACTTCTCTTTTCATGTATCTATATCTTTAGTCACAATCTGCTAAAGCTTGCACAGTTCATTCACACTACAAAAACATAAAATAACTAAGGGTGAAGAGGAGAAAACAGTCAAAAGGAAGAAATTTCATAATACCTCTAATCGCTGTATCCTTCCCTTGAAGAACATGAACAGAGAAGAATTTGGATAAGCAGATTCTTTTTTTGCAAGAATTTCTTTTGCCTCTTTCAATCCTGCCTTGTTATCGCTGCCATCAAGGGCAAAAAAGGGACGAACAACTGTGTGGTACCACAACAAAGCTAATCTAAAAGAAACATAAGAGTAAAAAGGATTACAGCTCGTAAACAGAAATTTAAGGATAACATTCTACACGGCCAACTTTTTAAATCATTCTGAAAGACAAAGAAAGATATGAACATTTTCTTATACAACCTGGCTTTAAAACAAACAAATACTACTGCCATGCATCAATGTACTCCTCAACTGCACCTGAACATACAATCCAGTGCACAAAGGTAAAGTAACAATCAAGCTCAGGGCATCAAAGCAGTTGAGCCTTTAGAACTCTGTAGCTTTTAAAAAAGAAAAACCCACAGGAAAACTTTGAAAACTAATCTTTCATTAGTGGCAGCGGGGGAAAATACACAACAAACCAACAACAAAACCAACAACACACATCAGCAGACACACTTGAAATCAATGTCAAAAAGAAATATATCCAGCATTCAGAAGAGTGACATCTACATGACCTACGTTGCTCCTGGAAACAAGGGCAGAGCACAAGGATTTCCAAGACCACTTGAAGGAAGAAACATCCCCCAAAATACCATTTCCCTTCCCCAGAAAGCAGAAAGAACAAATCAACAGAAACATTTAAGCTTAAGCTCTCTTAAACAATCAGAAATCCAACTCTTCTCCTCGAGCAGAAGAGACTTTAGCTCTGCTGTCAATGTTTCAAAAGTGACATTTAATGGTACCTGCAGTAGGTCCAGTAATAAAAGCATTAATTTGAAGATAATGGAATACTACACCAATTTATGAGAGCAGTTTAAATTAGGTCTGGTTAACCTTTCACTTCATAAAAAGACCCGAATGCAGTATGAATGCTTGGGAGAAAGAGTATACAAAAAAATACTCCTCTAAAAAGACTGTAAGGGAACATCTCATTTTACTCAGATGGTAAAATTAAACTGGAAAAGATCTTTGGCTAATAGTAAGAATAAATAGCTAAGTGAGATCAATAGCTCATACAGAATAGCATGTTGTCCATAGCAGAGAATATAACTCAGGTAAATCTACTCAGCCATCAAAAATGCTTTTATTTACTCTTCTGGCATGTAAGTTACTAGACATTAGAATAAAAGGTACTGAAGAATACAGCAAAATACTGACACAAACCCCAAATACATGTAAGTAACTAACCGCAGAGATATCTCATACACTAGTAAACTGACAAATTTACTAAACCATGGCATGTTAAACAACAAACTACAAGTTTATTTTACCTGCTGTTGTTTCCTTTAAAGCAACATGACTTTTTGGTTTTGACTTTTTTCCAGTTACTTACTTTTAGTACTAAGTTATCTACCAAAGCATTTCAATATAGCTACTCACGTAGCTAAAGGGGCCTTCATGTCCTTACTTTCACTTGCATACATCAGTGAAGAAAGCCCCTGTAGGCGGTCTCCAGGAAAACCCAGCAGGTTGATGATTTTGAGCAGGTTTGGGGGCACCATGGATATGCAAAGATGAAAAAGTCCATATCCAAAGCTAACAGCACCTTTCAGTCTGTTTAGCGAATCCTCCGTTACACCTTCTGCAGCAATATGATTATCATTTGCAGCATCAGAATTCAAGGATTCCTGAGTTGTTTTCTTCTGATATATTTCCTGAAGTGTATTAATGTCCGTATAGCACTTATTGTAAATTTTCCAGGCTTTTCGGAGTATCCACCCACCTTTTATGTACGCTAAAAATCAAGGAAAAAAAGTATTTCAAGGACATATTTCAGAAGCGGAACATAGGAAGTGGTAAATGCTATTTCACAAATCCTAGGATGCTCTCTCTAACCTATTTGCATTAACTTATTGTTTAAAGGATTTGGTAACAGCTACTGTCCCCTTGAAGAGGTCTTTCATACTGGGCACTACAAACTTGAGTGCTGTTCAACCAGAGACTCTAAAACAGCAAATAATACAAATGTACTTCCCTTCCCGTAGCAATACAACTGTCAGAAAGAAACAGAGAAATCAAAGAACTTAATGCTGGATTCTGCTCCACTACAGAGTGGATATGGAATGGCTGCCTGGCAAACAGGGAGAAGCAAAACTCAAAGAACAGATTACATCTCTCAAGCCCAAATGATGTTAAAAAGACAAGTTGATGGGAAAATACTAAGACAATCCCTTCCTTTGGGTTAGACAATAAGATTTTCAACACCATCATTTCCCTGCCCCTCATATGAACACAGTGCCTTATAATTAAGAAAAAAAAATCATTAAAAAAAGAATGCATAATTTTTATGGTTTGACAACATTTTTCAGTTGTCTAACTTCCTCAATTTCAAATGCAAGCTCGGGTATCTGTATTTCCCTAGAAATCTAGTCTTGAGCATTCTCGGTTGAGAATTAGAGAATTCTCAGTCTCATTACCCTCTTTACAGGAGGGTAAAGAAAGGCATGACACCAAAAGATGAAGATGTCTGATTTGCCTACTTACATAGCATTCATCTTGATTATAGCACATCCTTGGATAATGACAAGTAGTAAACAGAAAACAAACACAAAATAATACGTGTACACGTTAATTGTAAAAGCAGACACCAGCATTTGGCTGTGATAGAGCCCTGAGAGTTAACCACAGTGACAAAGGAGTTAACTAAAAATGAGAGGAAATAAATGCAAACTTGTAACAGCAGTGTTCTAAAGAGCTATCACCAAATTTGCAGAGATCAGTGTTATAACTGATGCCAGAATTAGATCATAACAGGTGGAGTGTGTCAAAGAAAAGGAAAACGCTATTGAAACCACTCTCTATAAGCCTTTGACATCTTTGACAAAATCCTTCCAATTAAAAAAAAACATTTCTAGAGAAAGTACCATCACTGACTAGGCTACCTCTTTTTGCATCCTTGTCATATAAACAGAGGATGAAGCTAGTTTAATAGTCTTAAGAAATCGCACCGAGAAAGACTGCAAAATTGGTATTCTCAGTTGTGACAGAAGGGTTCTGTCAACATGAACTTAAAGTATTAAAAAAACTCATCCTTTATCTCAAGTTCCATCTTAAAGCGTTATAATAAAAAATGTAAACCCCTGCCATGATTCAGTTGCATTACAAGACTAACATTACATCAATTTCACATTGATTACATTACATTCAATTTCACATTGAAACATTACATCATTACATCATGGAGCAGATCCTCCTGGCAACTATGCTAAGGCACATAGAAAATAAGGAGGTGATTGGTGACAGCCAACATGGCTTCACCAAGGGCAAATCCTGCCTGACTAATTTGATGGCCTTCTATGATGAGGTTACAGTATTGATGGATAGGGGAAGAGCAACTGACTTTGTCTACCTGGACTTATCCAAAGCATTTGATACTGTCCCACACGACATCCTTGTCTCTAAACTGGAAAGACATGGTTTTGATGCATGGACCCCTCGGTGGATAAGGAATTGGCTAGATGGTTGCACTCAAAGAGTTGTGCGTCAATGGTTCAATGTCCACGTGGAGGCCAGTGACGAGTGGTGTTCCTCAGCGGTCAGTACTGGGGCCAGCGCTATTTAACATCTTTGTTGGAGACATGGACAGTGGGATCGAGTGCACCCTCAGCAAGTTTGCAGATGACACCAAGTTGTGTGGTGTTGTGGACACGCTGGAGGGAAGGGATGCCATCCAGAGGGACCTTGACAGGCTGGAGAGATGGGCCTGTGAGAACCTCATGAAGTTCAACAAGGCCACGTGCAAGGTCCTGCACGTGGGTCGGGGCAATCCCAAGCACAAGTACAGGCTGGGCAGAAAATGGATCGAGAGCAGCCCTGAGGAAAAGGACTTGGGAGTGCTGGTTGATGAGAAGCTCAACATGAGCCGACAATGCGCGCTGGCAGCCCAGAAAGCAAATCGTATCCTGGGCTGTATCAAAAGAAGTGCAGCCAGCAGCTCAAGGGAAGTGATTCTGCCCCTCTACTCAGCTCTCGTAAGACCCCACCTAGAATACTGCGTTCAGCTCTGGAGTCCCCAACATAAGAAGGACATGGAGCTACTGGAACGAGTCCAGAGGAGGGCCACGAATATGATTTGAGGGCTGGAGCACCTCTGCTATGAAGACAGGCTGAGAGAGTTGGAGCTTTTCAGCCTGGAGAAGAGAAGGCTCCGGGGTGGTCTTATAGCAGCTTTCCAGTACCTAAAGAGGGCCTACAGGAAAGCTGGAGAGGGACTTTTTACAGGGGTGTGTAGTGAGAGGACAAGGGTCAATGGATTTAAATCGAAAGAGGGGAGATTTAGATTAGATATAAGGAAGAAATTCTTCACTCAGAAGGTGGTGAGGCAGTGGAACAGGTTGCCCAGAGAAGTTGTGGATGCCCCATCCCTGGAAGTGTTCAAGGCCAGGCTGGATGAGGCTTTGGGCAACCTGGTGTAGTGGAGGGTTTCCCTGCCCATGGCAGGGGGGTTGGAACTAGATGATCCTTAAGGTCCCTTCCAACCCTAACCATTCTATGATTCTATAATTTTAAGCAGTTAGGTCACTTTTTGGCTGCACAGAATAATTTAAAAGTTGTGCATTTGACCATAAGATGAAAGCTCACACAACTACGCATAGCAACACAGCAGATAAATAGTAAGGGAAAAACTGCATTTTGCTTATCCTACAGACAGTGTTTCTGCTAATAGCCAACTACTGTCTTCTCATGTATGCATCAAATCAAAAGGATATGATGTGGAAAAAGTATAGTTCTAGGCTTTCAAAGCATAGTTTTAGGCTTTACTTCCATCAGTGTGCTGTCATTAACACTGCATAACCCTAATTGATTTGATATACCAAGATAAAACAATCTAACAAATTAAAATAATGAATTTCTAACTTTTTAACCAAAAATCAAATCAAGTCCAATCACTGAGCTGACTTCCCAGTATGAACTTCTGAAAGTAGTCAGACCCGAGACAGCAGTGGCAAACATTAAAAAAGGTACTTCTATACTGCTGTGGGAAGCTAATATAAGTTGCTGTGTTACTAACTTTATGATTAAACTATTTGTAATACATCCATGAGGGTGGAAAAGAAAATCTAAAATGTGTTAGGCATATGAGAAAGCAGCTTGCGTGCCATCATATGCTTCTTGTCAAACTGTTCCAGGAATAAAAACACAAGAAATTTTTCACCTATCCAGAAATATGATCAGAAATATTTGTCTGCCTCTGAAGAACGTCTTTTTTTAAAAAAAAATGACACTAATTTCAATAATCTGGTTGCTATTTCTGTACAGAAACATGATAAAAACACAAGATGTTCATACATAATCAGCAACGGCAGCAACTAGCAGTTACTGAGGTGGCATTTAACCGTTTGGAATTTTAACTCAAGATTTCAGGTATACTTTTTACTCAACAGAGTAACCCAAAAATACTGCATGTTCTGCAGTAGTCTGCTACCCACTTCAGTTCTCTGAGCAGCACATAAGAGAGTAAGGGAACCGACACCACCCTCAGTTAAAGCATCCAACCCCGTTATGCAGCTGCAGAATACATATTGAAATAAGAAAAAAAGCTTCAATCAGTGGGGGGGGTGGGGGGGAATCACAAATCAAAACCCAGAACTGCACCAAAAATAGTAAGCAAGCCTTTCTGCAGCACTATACGCACAGCAGACAGAAATACCACCTGAATTTCTGCTAGCTAGAACAAAACACATTCTTGATGCTATGGCTTGGAAGAAACCAAGCCTACACATCACTGAAAGTATTATGTCCTCGACTGAAGATTTCAGTGTTATTTTAAATAATCTTATTTCCTTGATTCCTTTCAGCTGATCAGCAGAGTTTTCACTCACAATCTGGTCTGACTGCCACCTCTTGGTTTTCATTGATTTGGTAAGAATCTGGGAACGTACTCACTTTGTATATGACCTTGATGACATTTTCTATAAACTTATGGATGAAGGCACATTTTAAGATTATGCAATAGATCCAGGAATGCAAGAGAACATTAGAAACAGCTTTGCAGCTGAAATGGTTTGTATCCTGAGTAGGTTTGTATCCAACACGACAGGATTAACCTCTTTGGCATGCAAGGATGCACTCTGGAGACCAGAGAATAAGAACTGATTCAGCAGTTCCATCTTCAACACACTTCATTTAAAATTACTTTCACTGGCAGTTTGTAATCCCCCTGAGTCGTCACGACCATAATGCATATGGGACATTAGGATTTTCCAGGTGGCCTGGACTTCAGCTGTTGATAGCCTCTTGCAGGCCACATGAAGCATGCAGATGCTATCCATCTTCGTACCAGCTCAACTGCCTCTATGGGAACACGTGAAGGATTCCAACCTATCTAAGGAGAATCAGTTGAATATGATTATTGGTACGAAAAAAAGCGGAAAGCTGTAATCTGTAGCAATCCAACTCATATTATTTATTGATACCTACACAAAGGTAGAACACTTGCCTACATAAAGGTAGAACAACACATCTGCAAGTGTACCGATCTTGTAAGAAAGAATATAGTTCCATTTGAAACATTCCAAAACAATCATCTTTACTGAGTCATCTTGCCACTTTATGATCAAGATTTCTTAAAAAGATACCGTGCAAAAAATATATCTAAACATTAAAGCCATAACACACCTGATAACTCCTGTTTTACAAATGAAAGCACAGCCAAGTAGACTTGACAGTCTGCTACAATTATTTGTCTTTGCAGACGATCCACCATGGATAGACTGGATTTTCGCCCATCGACCTGTTTGGAATATACAGAGAACAGAAAAACGTTAACAAAGATAACATGGAATACTAGTTTAAACCTGACAAATTAAAAAAAATTAAAATTAAACTGCAAGTGGTAGTATTGTTACTAAATTAACACAGCATTTTGAAGTGCAAAACTACACTAAAAGTTCTTGATAGCTCATCAAGCAAGCTCCTGCTTAATAAACAGGGAAATCTTACATATTTGCTACCAGCTATTTTTCTGGAGATTCTATGAATGCTTAGAACAGATTTAAATTCCATTTAATTATTGCTAAATGCATCAGACACGCAACTAAAAGATGTCAGATAAGAATAGCACAGAAAGGGGTATATGACAAGTGACAGGGAAAATACTTAACTTTCTGCTTTTAGGAGACACTGTATGTCAGGCTCAATACTTTTTATCAAGTAAACTAAGTACTGCAGAGAAAGGGCTTCTTTTTCTGCTGTAGATCTACTACATCACACTAGGCAGGTCACTCGACATTTCTATACTACTACTCTAGCTTTATTCTTCCTTTGCTATTTAGAATGAAAAATCTGAAAAAGAAAGGAAAATTCCCTAGGAATACATCTGGTACACAGCACTACGCAGCCTCGTTCTCACAACTTCTGAACATTACTAGAGCATGTATGAATTAAAGATAGCCTGAATTAGACAGCCCATAAACTTCCTGAAATAATTTTAGTAGGTCATTAATTTGAGGTTAAGAAAAGGTGTTAAGAAAATAACTAACATCAACACAACCTGCTGCTTTAGAAGAGGAACTATCTCATCGAATATTTTATGATACTTAGGAAATACAAGCAAAATATTCACCTTAATTTCTAAATTTATTATTAATCTCAACTGCTCTTCACATATCAAAAATCTATTCAAAATAAAAAGAGGACAGAAAGGAAGCTTCCAGAAATATTTATCTAATACGCAACTCCATATTCTCCAAATAATGTTCTTACGTTCTTTTTAATTTTATTCTTGATTGTTTCTATAACTCCAGCTTCTTCACTTTCACAAAGTTTCTCTGTAGCCTTTAAGTCATCACATGCCAGCTGCATTTTCTCTTCTTCAAATGTCATCATAGCATTCTACCAAAAACCAAACCGATTTGAAAGACAAAAATCACAAATATTTTTATTTCTATAAAAGCTATAGGATAGTGAAAGGTTTCATAAAAACTTGACAATAAAATTTACTTTTTTTACATATTAATATACACATACATCAGTACACATACTTTCACACAGAAACACCAAACTAGAGATTTGAGAGTGCTTTACCAAAATTTCAAGACCAACCACCAACCTAAATTCTTGTCTTAACAAAGCTTCATACACAGTCAAACTGAATGCACTGTCATGTTACGTTAAGTGGAAGAAAAATTCATATAAATTAATTTTCAGTTATTGTTATGTAAGGCACAATTTGCGTCTGTGCAGATATTGCTTTTATATAATTCATCCACATAAATTACAGGCCACCAAAGTCAGCAAACAAGTAATGGATATTGCATTTTTCAAAATAATAACCACAATTCCTACCTATGTAGGAAGA